TTCCTAGTATTGGACCTTTGTTTCTTGATCATGATTTAAGTTTTCATCAGTTCATCCTTTATGATAGTGACTAATCTTTCACTCATTTAACTGAATACTATGGTTTGCAGCCTCAATTTGGTTTACAATAGGTAAAGTAAATAAGATCTTAGTTTTTAAGTACATTTTCCTTCGTACTAAATTCTGTCTCACTATATTTGTTTCTAGTTCTTTTGTACTCATTCTATATTATTTATTCTATTATTATGAATATTCAAGTTCTGCATTTTTGCTGTTATATGTCCGTAGTTATTTTTGGTAACCAAATGGCTACAGATAGGTATTGTCAAAATACAGATGACCATTAATACATAAGAGTTCAGCAGATATATCTAATAATTATTAGTCACAGTTAATAAAACAAAATGGGTTATAATTTATATCTATGGCATCACGCTATTATACCGGTGATTTCATTGTCATGAACTTTACCAAAGGGTTAACTACTGGCTAACTTTTTTATATCTTATTAACCATTTCATATTACAAAAGTGACACCACCCTGTCTTAATCAGATGATCTCATGGGATAGAATTCAAAAGACAACATTGTAGTGACTCACGTTTATCACGAGAACACGACTGATTTAATAAAAACAATTATTATTATAACCAACTGTACCAGTGTTTGTTTTAACGTGCTTTTGTTTGACTGTGCTAATGACAGCTATTTTGTGCTTCCATTCTTTTACTTACACTTTGATTGTAACTTCGCGCGAATTCAGTTACCTTCTGTAACCAAGGTTGTATCCTGGCACGATCTCGGTATCCTTTCGATGCCACGAGATCGCCAGCAAATAAACCTCGACTTGGTCCATTAATTGCCTTCTGATATTCGGCTTCTCGGGGATTTTATGGAGTCATTTGGAACGAGCTTCTTACGCCTTCTGATTCGCTTGGCACGTGTTTCTTTGTAGCGGTGTTCATAGTTAACCTCAACTCGACGCCACGCTACAATTGGTAATCCCAATTCGAATACAACATTATGAATATGACCAAAACTGAATAAACTACTTTAGTGAACGTCTGATACTATGTTTATAACTAAGATCGCCAAATATAATTGATTGCTAATGATAACAAGCACTGTCTTTTAGAATAAATATGTTTCGTTTGTTGCTGCGTATTGTTATTATTGAGCGGATAAGCAAGAGAGCGAAACTTTTGGAGCTATTCTTTTTTAATCACTTCCTGTTTTTAGCATTTGTTTATCAAACAATTGGTTGAATGTATTCTTAGATTTCGCTTATTTTTTGACTCATTAACTGTTGCTACATCTACCGTCCATGAACTACTGTAACTTATTATAGAATATGGTCATATTTGTCTCATAAATGTCGTGGTTATGTATATACAAGGTTTTTGCTAGTAGTTACTTAAGTCTGTATTTTACGTGTATAACCACGTGAGTCTTATAGGTTCTATGACCTGATTGATGGGTTATGATTGAGTTAAGATCTTGAGTACATTATCGAGAGTTAGCATGTACGATAAGTTGGCGTAGGTAAAGTCGCGACTGTAGCCTAATCATTATAATATTCACATTTAGAGTGTAGAATCTGGTGATCGAATTTGGTGTATATTTATTAGAATCCTATCAGTCGCCGTCAAATCACATGATCATTCAACTCCTTTAAAAATGATGTAATTCATAGATTATTGTCTGCAATTAAAGGATCAAAATCTACTTATACAGTATCAAAATGAATTTTAGGTTGTCATTCAAAAACATTAGTGCTCTATGAGTATTAATATTGGTTATTTATCTTTGATTTCTAGGCTAGATAATTTTTTTTGTTACCAACTTGATCAGAAATTAATAGTGTTAATCTGGACTGAAAATTAAAAATGTCTCGATTAATTTCGTACAGATTCTTGGATCAACCACATCGGTAGCTTAACCATGTTTGAAGATACAATATTAAAAGACCAAATACATAAGCCATCTGATGAATTAGTTCCATACACATACTTGGATAGAGAGAGAAAGCACAAGTGTCTAGGACAATCTCAAACAATCCTGAGGAAAACAGACAAGAACTCGAAAATGTATAAATGCTAATGGTTCATAGATCCATGCACTGGGCTACTATAATTATTTAAATTATAAAATATTTTATTCAGAAATTTAGTCTTTGTCAAAACATTGTGTAGGAATTTCGTTACTATGTGTTGTGTCATTCTCGATTTATAGGAATTGATTTTCATAATGAGAAACTTTTAGGGGTTGTTAGATGAAAGGATAAAGTACTAATCGATTGGTGATCTGCAATTATATTGCTCGTTTGTGTGAGGGTTGATCAGGAGACCATATTTAGGCATAAAAACATGAAGGATTTGATATCAAAACGAGAATTATTGTTCGGAAAACAAATTTTCCTTTTGGTAATTGTTATTTTACTCCAACTGTTACATGGTGTTTTGGCTGCAGAGGCTTCATTTGTGAATGTTTTCACGTTATTATATCACTGTGAGTTACGAATAGGTTTCAACAATATAGGGGGTGTAAGGGGCTCACACTATAGCTTTATGTAAAACTGTTCTTTTCTGAAGTAGCAGCGATTTTGATAGGTAAATATGTTCGTTTTAAATTTTCCTTAATTACTCTGATGACATCTCTTACATATGCATAAGTGCTTTTTCACTTGATAATATTATATATTTATCATATACAAACTCAGTGGATAGTTCATAACAGAAATATCTACCCAGGTGATCCACACATAAATGCTCAGTTCACGTTACACAAGATAACTGTCAATCTAATCGAAGGACATCAATCTCTCCACACGGAAGATGCCACAAGTATTTATAGTTTGACAACACCTATAAATGATAGTGCCCACCCAGTGAAATCAAAAGTCAGCAGCGAGGAGGTCAGAAGATATATTTGCTAGGCTATTGATATATCGACAAACGACTGGCTAGCGATTGAAGAAGTTGAGCACGGCATTTTCACTCGTGTTCTGTTGGTGATGCATGCCAGAGCGTCTTCAGCTACGTGAGTCCATTGAAACCAATATGGACAAAGTCAAATGTCGAAGGCTTACATAGCTATTGATCTTGGTAATTTATTTACTACTACAGATCAATCCCCAACTTGATCGCGTAGTAATGATCCTGAGACATCGTCAGTCAGAAGTTTAAACCCATTGAGGTGGTCGTTAGTAAATACTTTTCTCATAGCTTGCCGAGTTCGGCAGAATAATCGAGACGCGATAAAATGCTAAATAATGTATTACGTACAATGCTTGTTTAGATGTTCTGAAAACCCTACTGTTCTTCCAGAACGCGTTGTTTTGAGTCTGTTCTCAGATGCCGTGTTAGGCAGTCGTTTGGAATTGTGTGATTCTTAATGGTGTAGTCACACAACGGAAAAGTCCAGATTCGAACTGACGTTCACAGTCTGTAGTGATAATTTAAAGGCAGCCGAAATTTTCTACCTATCGGTTGACGAAGGCGTGAACCACTGCTTAATCAGTAACACCCTTAGTGGTTGTACAAACACTTGGATGAGAAAGTTTGTGCAAAGTATTGAAGACGTTGCGTCGATTATGTTTCAGCACTATTCAGTGATCACTAGCTGTAGATGTGTCTCACAATAAGGTTTACTTCCTTGACACCATCTGTTTGATAAGCAGTTTTAGGGTCGTTGAATACAACTCGTGCTGAAGATCAGTGTATCCTTTTGCAGCTTGGTGAGCTTAAGAAGGTTGGTCGCTAGGTAACTGTTCAACGAATGTACACAATAAAAGGCGTCGGAAACTACATTGTTTGCTCCAGATATGTGTCGAATGTCTTGAGCAAACTGAGAAATATATATCAGTTGTCGAGACTTTCGAATTTAGTACCTGTCTGAAGATGAGCTTAAAGGGAAAGCAAGAGATTTATGGTCAGTGAAAAAAGTGAATTCTCGGTCTACTATATTGTGTTGAAAGTGCTATACAACACAGTACATTGCTGGGAGTTCCCTACCGAAAGTGCTATATTTCGATTCAAGATCTCGCAACCGACTTGAGAAGGCCGAAGGTCGCTGTGTGTGATCAAAACTTTATTGAAAGATTCCTCCGACTGCTATGTCGGATGCGTGTATTGCGATACAAATGAGCACATGGTTGTACTTGTGTGCAAGCATGGTTGATTTTGCGATAAGTCCCTTAATTGTGGAGAATGCTTTACGCGCGTTATCATCCAACTTGATGGATTTCTGAATGTTTACAATAATGCCGTGTTTTGGGAGTCGTTTGAAAACAGGGTCGGATGATGGAGATGGGATTCTCTATCCGGACTTGCTGCCAAGCATCCATCAACATGCGCATGTACGAAGTCGAGACCTCGAAAAACATGTTGTCAAAATCCGTACACTTGTGTCACTACATGCCTTATTATATAACGTCATTTAATAGTTAGATGTCTGTAGTTGCCGCCGACTTGAATAATATCTGTATATTCCACCGGGATAATGGTAAATCTTGTGTTGGCATTATAGATGAAAATGTTATCCTACCTTTGAAGGATAATTATAGAAAACTCATGACGGACCGTAAAGTGTGTCGAAAAGAGGTTCTTATCTGAAAATCCTTCATATTCGAAACGCTTCTATTAGTCTTGCAGGTTTTCCTGTGAGAGCTCATCATTTTTATCTTATATTTATCTGGAAAATTAATCTACTTCTAAAAAATAAATCTGCCACAATCGGTCAACAAAAAGATTACTTGAATCGAGTAGCTGATATCACAAGACTTGATACACTTCAATGATTCAACGAAAAAACTATTTCCTTAGCTAATATTAAACAACCATTGAATTTGTAGTATATCGAATATTGCATATACAGGAAGATGAAAAACAGATAAGCTTCGAATTCATACATAATGTTATTAAAGCCGTATAAGATGTATTTTTGTGATTTGTCTTCTTTGTTAAAATTGGTCTAAGGGTCTTATTTATTTGGTTTAAGTACTCTAATCTTCTAGGTCACGTTTTAGATAAATTATGAAACTGTAAACATAAAGAGTGGTTTCCTGCTTCTTCCTGTTATAAGACTGAAGTTAAGGTTATTTTTTGCAGAGCAATGAACACATCAGAAGGTTTGATCCAACATGTCAGGGGAAATTTTAGAGAAAGCTTCTTGTCCTCTGAACTAGGAGAAAAAATTGGTCTGGTATCACTGTTTTTTCTTGAAATAATTTGTACAGGTGCGTGAATGGATCATCGGTACGGGAACAAAGTTGTTGGATTCTCAAACTTCTAAACCATACAACTTCGAGGAAGCATGTCAGATACGTAAATCACACGAACAGTTCGAGTTCAAGTGTATGGTAGGTTTTTTCTGTCGTTTAATTTTGTATAGAAAGCTTTGGAGGTCTTCGCTGAACTGTGTGATTATAGAAAGCAAAGTAGCATTAATTTGGAACTGAGTGAGCTGGACTTTATGGTGCAGAGTTTCGTGGAAAAGCTAAACAGGAGAACATTTTTTGTTGTATCTTGCTACACTTATTTCAGATTAGTTGAAGAAGTAATAAATATTCACAGAAATCAAATCTGATTTTAGCTTTGGAATATTTTGGAGGATTTACAAAAGAGGGAGAAGGAGGTTGATACATACGACGGCACCTCGATAAAAAACGCAATATCTGATTTAGAGCACGGGGTTGAAAAGTGTGAAGTGAGACTAAACGGTCTTGCTCATGAACTTGAAAGACTCCGAATAATTTTGAAACCTTCTGATCCGGATTATCTTGGGCAGTTGGAAGATGGATTTAGAGATGCATGTCGAGCTGCCACTGAAGCAACACAATCCCTTAAAATTCGAAAACTTGTCCTCAAGAAGCACTCCAAGGTTTGTTGACGATTTTTATTTAAAAGGAGAGTATTCCAAATCTCTTGTCTGAAATCGCATACCGAACAAATAATTTCTACAAAATTTTAAATGATTGCTAATTACTATGAAAGCCATTCGACATTTTGATGACTCCGAATTTTATATTGTTAGGATATGATTGTTCACTACCGCTCAGTTTTTCTAAAGACCTTTCCAGGCTTTAAAACGACGGCAGCCTGAAAATTCTATTTTTATTGAACGTATTAAATTTGAGGGTGAACTTTTTTTAGTTATAGTGCTCGAAGCTTGTATTTTCGTACGATAATGGTATCTGCTACTGTCAAACCTTCAGGTTTTTACCCGTAAAAAGTAGTCGACCTATTCAAACTGTTTTTTATTGTCTGGTGAGTTAGATGAAATTATGAAACTTTGCATTTGTTTGTGTATGCAAACTATGTGAACTTGGTTTTTGTTAGCTTGTTGACCGTTCTTTTGGTAGTCAGATCACATGTATTTTGGGACATAATTTCTCGTTATCTAATATGTGTGATGAAATTGAACTCTGCTCAGTGGTTCTTAAAATTAACTTGATAAATTCCGACTACTTATCATACTCAAATATGGTTGGCGGTTAGTGCCAGAAATTAGGATGAGGATTCATTGTCAGGAATTAAGATAATTTTTTTATTCACAAACTTGCGTCATCTGTTATGCAAGAATACGCTGTAGATATAAGAATGAATGAATTTCGTATAAAAGTTCAAGCGACACTGTCTTTTATATGATTGGTTTGTTGATTAAGCATGGTTCCCACCTAGACGTTTTAAGATTTTTCAACGTAGATCAATTCATTGATTCATTTTGGTTGGCATTCAAAAATGTTAAGCAGTTATGTTGCAGTATAACAATGCCAGTTTAAGAAATCAAGTTTTATAAGTGCATAATGTGTCTCGAAACACAGACAAAAAATAGTTTTTCATTAGTGTCGCAGACGACTGTTATCGAAACCTTAAGGTATCTCAGATATCATAACATAGTGGAAGGATATTCTGCTTGATTCGAAATGTTGTTTAGCTCTCACTATTTCTGAATCCTTAAAACACTGGATAGGATAGCAGCTGTGTTATCTATAATAGTTAGTTCAGTTTAATTTGTTGATGGTGCACGAATATGGTTTGTTGTGAAATGTTTATAATTTAGATAAATTATGAAGTTTATTGGAAATCTTGTAAATTGTACTTAACCAAAAATCATAGTCACTTTGAGTAATATTTTTTTCGTTGGTTATGTTTTACAGTTGATATATAATTATTATGTTATTTTTGATAAATTATGATTACATATCTTTAAGATATACCTTCAACTCAATAAACCAGTTGTCTTCGTATAATGCTCGCTGAAATGTAGCACGGAAACTAGAATTTGATCATGATAGTTTGTTTCACTCTATGGATAACTGAGATTCAGTAACTTCAGCTTCAATGATAATGTACAAAAAATTGGTTAACTTATTTCAACAACTACATAAATTTCATTAAGAAAGGAAAACTTGGACAATTAGGCGTACAGAATGTTGTTTACAGATTGCTCTCGGAAAATACATTTCATTTATACATGATATTTATACATTTAGGTAGTTTAATTGTAATAACAACTATTCGAATGTTGATATAAATCACTAGTCAGTGACTTTGTTGAGGTATATGAAGAAAGTACATCGAAACATTCGATGTGCCTGGACAAACGTCTAGTCTCAAGGCTACAATAAGTGATAATGAAGATTAAAACTTATCAAGGTTATTTTAAATATGTCGAATAGATTATTACTGATGTAATACAAATTTCTAGACGATTTAAAGCGAACGTAATAATTATGACTTCTAAAATATAATTTATTCTTGGGTTACACTTGCAATGGCTTTGTTTTCGTAAGATATTTTATTTCTTGTTCTGTTGTTGAAAGTTGTACTGGGTTAAATACTGGATCAAATGCTTTTAGTATTTTCTTCTAAATGTCTGTAAACTAGTTAGGCTTGAGTTCTGAAATCATTCTGGTGTTGTACATAGTAATTATCAAGTTGGAATGTTAGTTAGCTGTATTTCAAATATGTTGAGTCGCTTACTGTCATATTTTATATCAAAATTCTACGATACAGTGAACCCACAGTCAAATGTTGAAGCAGACCTGGGGCCTTCATTGCATTTCATTTGATGTCAGCGATGGAATACTATACCACTCTCAAATCCACTGACCCTACAAGTTATCATTTTCCCCTAGAATGTTACGAAATTCACTCCACAACTAGTCGATTACAAACGCATGAATATTATTAAATAAGATAACTGTATATTAAGTTTGTAATATTTGAAAATAATTATAAGTATGAAGTCGCATTACATGGAAAACCGTTGAAAATCACTATGTAATGGATAGAGGACAGTTGAAAGGCCTGAAACTTTGACTCGATCGATGTTCAATACTTTTTTATATTCATTGATTTTACAACTGGTGCCAGTTTCTGATAAAGTGCATCTTTTGTTTCTCAGATGAGTTTAAATTTAAGTGAACGATTAATAAGTAGTATAAATGAAATTACTCTTATTTTCCAGTGATGAGGTTGTGATTATAAATGTTAATCACAGTCCATGATGCTGTTTAAACATGAGAACAGTGAATTTTATATTTTGATTATTAAACCAGTTGGTTTTCTAAATAGTACACCTGATGCTTTTAGTATGGATTTATTTTTGTTGAAACTGGTTTTTGATAGTTTAGCACCAGTTGTTTGTATATATATATATATATATATATATATATATATATATATATATATATATATATATATATATATATATATAATCTGCATTGTACTTTAATTATTTTTCTTCAGCAAATATAGCACACAATGCAACTATTTGTGTTTAATAATATTATTGATAATTGAATACAGTTCTGTTTGTAGTGAAGGTCTTTTGAACATAAGCATTAAGCAGATATTGATTATATGTATGAAGATGAGGCTGGATTTCCATTACTTATAGTCACTTTTTTAAATTGGTTGTGTTGTTAAAATAATCATGGCTGGCCTGTATTGGAAATATAAATGGAGTTTTAGCTTTTTCTGTAAATATATCCAACTGGAAAGATTGTTTGTCTGTTCATTACAAACACAAGTTAACACTAATTAATCAATAAGCTTTGTTTATGAGACAAAGGTTAACAGATTTTGTTAGTCATTGTAATGACAAATTAGCAAGTTTATGTCTAATGATATTTTAATTAGTGAAAGTACTATTTTCTAATTATTATATTAACTGCAGAATCAATAGAAATCAAGTAGTTCTCAACATTCGTTGAATCGTAGTTTTTCTGACAGTTTTATATTCATTACATAATGATTTTCAACAGTTTTCCTACATTGGTTTTACTGATCCAATATGAACAAATAATGAATGTGGAGTGGACCTAGTTTAGCGTGTTTTAAAAGACAGTCTCTTTTATTCAATGAACTATTTTTTTAAAAGGGGGAATCAGTACGAACGGAATTAATGAGAATCACCAATTTGGAATTTAAAATTGTGAATGAAATTTTAATTTTTGTTACATAGAATTTAAGCTCATTGTATTTCATTCCTGTGATGTTACAAAAGCCAGACCACTAAATATATACACTACTATTACAGTAAAGGTTTTTGAAAACCCGTTGAATATCTATTCTTTTTTGACTACTTTTTAAATACTAGTGCATAGAACCTAAAGTTAGTAGATTTTGGTGAAGGTTTGTATCCTATATTACCGCTTTTTGTATATCATTCAATTGTTTAAGGATATACAATACTAACTCCAATCGAGATAAAACCATAGACTATAATATAACACTTTTATAAAGACTCGGACGATTAACTTAGTCATGAAAATATCACTAGCATTGATTTATGATACTTCTTAAATTGATAATAATTAAATCATTTCACTGTTTTTCCAGTTACTTGAATGTGAGGAAAATGTTTACGAGTCTATCGGTTGGATAGAGGAGCTTTATGAAAATATTGAAATAATGTATGAAGAAAATTGTGTTGGAAAAAACCAACTGGAATCAGAAGATCTTTTGAAAAAGCATAATGATATAGAAAATCAAGCGAAAGTGAGTAATATTATGCCTCTCAACCCATTTATTTAAGGGAAAAGAAATCAATTTTTTTGTTATTCTTTGATATGTATCCTTTTGATAGATATTTGTCAATGATGCTTTTAGTATAATTAGTTCATTGTAAAAAACCAACATTCTCTATAGAAAAAAATAAGATTTACATCCTTCATGGTGGAGAATTGACATAAACTTAACGACTACAAAATAGCAAAACTAGATCAATATAACGCTTAATAAGCGTTAATATTAAATAGAGATAAAAATAACCAAGAATTTACTCATTGCAACAATGACCTCTAACATCTTCATCAATAGATTTTCATTTGCTTGAAAGTTTTGATTGACTTTGAACATAAAATGTAGTCAAACAGTTATCAGCTTTATGAATTAATAAAACTTCAAAATAATAACTTTATTAAATTTCCTTAACCGATATTGTTCCTTCAATAGGTTTGTACATCATTATTGGTAGTTATCAACACAATTTACACTTTTAAATAAAATTCACCTAGTGTTATTGAATTTCACAGTAATTTACAATACATTATCATATTTTGACCCCTCTTATAATCCAATATTTGTAATATGTTCTCATCGTGACTGTAAATAGGATAGTTTATCTGAAATAAACGAAAATGAATGTTTACAGTAATCTTTCGTCAAAGATAAAACAATTTTTGGCTTGTTTGATTTGTAGGGTTGAATGTGAATAACTACTGATATAAGACTACTTATTATATTCTACAGGAAACGGGGATTAGAACAAGCGTTTTTGAGGTCGCTAAGCAAATATTTTGCCAACTAAATTTCAAGATAAATTACCGATTCTGTTGTAATTATTAACTGTTGACTTTGACTGTCATAGAAATGAGGGTCATACACCAGTTCGTACTTATTCATATTAGCCACTAAGCAAGATCAGTTTTTTTTCCGAATTCAGTAATCATATCGTCATACAGAAAAGGATTTATCAATGTCGACTGCCTTAAATAAAGGATTTGCGATTTCTTATCATGAAAGTAAATAAGCTGATCTTTTAATTTGAATAAATCATGTCACGTTTACTCTTTTATTCATATACATAAATATTGGGAAAAATAGGTCCTGAATATAAATGTGTCAAACAATGAAAATTAGATTGTGGTGAGGTAGGTAAATGAACGTGAGTATACTGAAAAAAGAAGGATGAATAAAAATTAATGTATAAGGGTATAAAAGGTGACAATAATGATAAAAGCTGTTCATTCAAGAAAAATAAAACTGAGAAGAATTCTCCCAGTTAGAAATGTCCATCCTACTTTTATGAAGAAAATAAGAGAATATTACAGCACGGTCACCACTACCCTCCATTCTCAATTATATCTGATAACATCTCAAGCCACTGTGTTGGATTATCTATAGGATCCTAACGAGAAAATCACGACGGATCAATCGATGCCAGTTCTGAAAATCTTTATTCCATTGTCACGACATCATATCACACACTGATCACCTCTCCACTAACTTCAACCAATCTCAGCGTCGGCGCATAAGATGCATCATGTCGAATTCGCTGATACGAAATTCATGGTACATATCGAGACCACCGATGTCAGTGTTTTTAAATGTGGTGATGCCAGTTGAATTGTTGTCACTGTGCCAGAATACACGACGAATCTATGTGCTATTAAAATAATGTTCCTACTGAATATCAGCAATCCTTTGGAGACAATAATAATCAAACTTGGATAGTTGCTTAGCACCCTCAGCTCGGAAAGGCCAAATTTCACATGCACAGAGCAAAACTCTCCAGTTTAAATGGTTTAACAACATGTTCCTTATTTGTAAATAGTTTGTTTACAGAATTTTACCGTTTACTAATTTGAAATTAAGCAACATATTTAAATAATACGAATTGAAATGTACTTATCTTTGAAACATATTGTAGACAATAAATTAATACGTATGCATAAATGAAAGTGTTTACAATGCGAAATTATGTAGGTTAATTTTATATAAAATGTAAATGCATATTTCTGCTTACTAGACTTGTTCATTTACCCTAAATTTGAAGTTTATGTGAGTATGTATACATAGTTATTAATGTGTTGGTTGATTTGCATGAGTAAAATGAGTTTTGTTAAATCAGTTTACTGAATGTTTGCTGTGCATACAAACACTTTTAGAAACATATTAATATTAAGTAAGATTGTTTTCGGTGTCATTTCTCTAAGATTTAATACGGGATATTGGATGATACTCATGAGCTATGAACTAATTTGAAATAAGTTACTTTTAATTATGTATGAAAGCAATTTCAAAATCTACTTCTGCAAGTTTTCATACGGATATATGTTATTAGCGGCATACTTTATCAGCTGCGAAATTCATAGATGACTTTTTATCAAACCTTTTGACATGAAAAAATGTTAATGTGGTCTATTTAACCACCGGCAGACTACTGACACTTGCAAAGATTAAAACGTTTGATTGCATTTAATATTCTTCTCGTGCAGTTCTAAATAATCATCGTTGTCTCCAAAGGATTGCTGATATTCGGTAGGAACATTATTTTAATAGCACATAGATTCGTCGTGTATTCTGGCACAGTGACAACAATTCAACTGGCATCACCACATTTAAAAACACTGACATCGGTGGTCTCGATATGTACCATGAATTTCGTATCAGCGAATTCGACATGATGCATCTTATGCGCCGATGCTGAGATTGGTTGAAGTTAGTGGAGAGGTGATTAGTGTGTGATATGATGTCATGACATGGAATAAAGATTTTCAGAACTGGCATCGATTGATCCGTCGTGATTTTCTCGTTAGGATCCTATAGATAATCCAACACAGTGGCTTGAGATGTTATCAGATATAATTGAGAATGGAGGGTAGTGGTGACCGTGCTGTAATATTCTCTTATTTTCTTCATAAAAGTAGGATGGACATTTCTAACTGGGAGAATTCTTCTCAGTTTTATTTTTCTTGAATGAACAGCTTTTATCATTGTTGTTATATTTTATGCTTTCCTTCAATTGTTTTTAAAGGTGAGACTATAATTTATGGATAACCTTTGAGTGACTCTAAATTGGCCTTCACAGTGTCCACCTAATAACTATGACTTGATGAGGGTTATATACCTGTGTATGGAAGTAGATTTATGATTTGCGGTTGACGATTAAGGTTGGGAATTTGATTTAAGGTATTCATCACGAACTGACATGAGCTATAATGCCAAAACTCTATTTATCCAAATGGAAGAGTGAATTTCATTTTATTTTCAGATTAATAACTGTTATTTATAGAATAATGTAACAATTTATCTGTTTTTTAACCGAAACACAGTAGCCTTTTCATTAACGAATGATGTTATTTTATATTAATTATTAGTATTAACGTACATTATAGTTTTTCGGATGTGAACTTGAATCTATTTCCATTTGTATGTTCACTTGATGAAAAATTGTGAAAATCAAGATTAATCTTCACTCTTCCACGACCTCATTTATACAGTTTGTATTTAGGTATTTGCAGATTATTATCAGAATGGGTTTTGTGGAGAATTTTAGAAATTTCACATGTTGAAATCATGAGTCAGTTGAAGCTAGACCACCATTGAAAACCTGGAAGCACTGGACGGCCGTTTCGTCCTGATATGGGACTCCTCAGCAGTGCGCATCCACGATCCCGCACCACGCGGGGCTCGAACCCAGGACCTACTGGCTTCGCGCGCGAGCACTTAACCACGGTGGCGCAACTTCGTGGATTGGTTGAAGTTAGACAGTAACACCGTTGGATGCCGGCTCAGTGGTCTAGTGGTTAAGTGCTCGCGCGCGAAGCCAGTAGGTCCTGGGTTCGAGCCCCGGGTGGTGCGGGATCGTGGATGCGCACTGCTGAGGAGTCCCATATCAGGACGAAACGGCCGTCCAGTGCTTCCAGGTTTTCAATGGTGGTCTAGCTTCAACTGACTCATGATTTCAACATGTGGTATTTGCAGATGTTACAGTAAACATATTTATGTATAGCCCGTGTGTTTTGCTTTACAAACAATCATAAAACACTAACTTTCTGGTAAATCCACGGATTTTGACAATCACTTGTTGGTGAAATGTTTACAGTATTAAATATGTGGTAATTGTCCTCACTTTAGTTGATTGTTATTTGAAAATTATATTCCTTCGGCGAAGTGTCTTTCGTTCGAAACGTTTGAATATATGATGATAATAATAGAATCTTTGGATTTTTCTCTATTTCATTGTCGTTCTTAAGAATCAGTAACGCAAAAATACTGTTGTAAAATACTTATCTAAAACATTCGGTAATTTATTGAAATACCATAACAGTTTTTCATTTGATATTAAGTTATTGGCCAGCCAGAGTTTCAGTAGTCTGTTCGGAGTTAAACAAAGTATCAGTATCCTGAACACGATGTCTTTAGTGTGAGTATTCAGTTAATCTACGTCGTTTTTCTTGTTTGTTTCTGTCCATTATTATGGTGTTTAAGTAAAACTGAGGAACTTAGTACTTTGCTTGTTACTTGACTCAAAAGTGAAGCTAAGCGTTTTCTACATAGACTATTCAAGTTATATTGTTAATTTTTAGTTGAAATTGTGATTTTTTGTTGCTGATATGATATTCATTTATCCAGATAGAAGGACTAACACTCAAATTTTGATCATTAAATTAAGTATTCTCCAAGCGTTTATTTTTATTGCCTTACCTTGTTTCGAATTTTTCGACACTTATAGCATCGCATGTTTAGGAACTAAAAAGTCAGTGAGAAGGGAATTCAAAATAGATAGGAGAGAATAATAGGTATTCCATTAATTTATGAATTTTTTCTGTCTAGACCACATTCAAGATCAAGTCTAATGTGTACAGTTTTGATTACTAGTATATCACACAAATGAATAAGTGATATGGGATTAGGTAAAAACTATTTCCAAACAAAGGAAAATGTTAAGGTTAGAAGAATGAATATGTAAGCCTTTAGTTATACTTCTAAATACGACTACAAATCTACTTATTTCCTCTATTCATTATTACGCGAATTTTTTATTATTTTTTTATGTATAATGTATTATTGTTATTTAGTAATTTCCTTAATACCGGAAATAAGTTCAAGGATAATTCGGAGTCTAAAAATTAATTATTGTTGAGTTTAATAGTTGAATTCATGAGTTGCTGTAAAGTAGACCACCATTGAAAACCTGAAAGCACTGGACGACCGTTTCGTCTTAGTATGGGACTCCTCAGCAGTGCGCATCCACGATCCCGCCCATCAGGATTCGAACCCAGGACCTATCGGTTTTGTGTGTGAACGCTCAACCTCTAGATTGATTGTCTGAGATTTTCTTTATACAATAACAACTATTTGTATGTATTTAACTCTTTTTCTTTTCGTTTCTATTTTTTGTCTCACATTTACATCAAGACAACCTATACATATTGTATACAACTGTTAGAAACGTATGGGAAATTATGCGAAGCAGATAGTAGACGTTTACCTCGGAATATAGGTTTAAGTAAAACTAGACTATTCCGTATTTGGCCAAAATTAACTGATAGATTATTGGAATTACAGGCACGAACGGAAGCTGCAAAAAAAGTTTATGTAACAACTGATATGGTATGTAATGTATACATATGAATGGTAAAGTTCACATGAGTAATGTTTACATTATTGATTACGTATGTTGTTGTACAATCATTATAATTTTTATTCAACATTACTTCCGTTTTTTAATTCAATACCATGATTACTGGATGTAGTATTTGTGTTATTTTCGATGCAACATTTCTTTCAGTATAATATTAATTTATTGAATAATTAGAACAATATTATTTGTATTAATTCAGTGTGAAATTCATTCAGTAGCTTTGGTTTTTGTGAAAACTTTATATATTTCCTCAATGTTAACTAATCATCAAGTGTATATAAAATCAATGTATAAATTAGTGTATTCATATATCAATTTGATATATTTGGAGGAGTCAACTATATTGTTACCACCAGCCTTTGAGTTCTTACTAAGCGTTGTCAAATTTGAGTTTTCAATAGGGAGTACAAGTTAGTTAGATATTCTGTAAACAACAGTGGTGACATAGCAAATGTTGTAGTATGTAAACAAACGGGAATTCATTATGGTGTAGCTATTGGCTTCCAAGCAGAGTCGTCCGTTTACTTCATTTTTATGTATTTATATTCATTGAAAGATTATTACCGTAATTAAATGAACACTAACTAGGGTATGTGTGATTAGTTTTCAACAATGAAAGCGATGATGCAGGTTTAAATTTGTTGGATCTTGACTATATCAGTAAAAGAAGAATATACTATAAATGCAGCAAAATTCCATTAAAAGTTATTTCTTTCAATTATATTCAGAACGTTCTATACAACAAAGTATTCATTTGAGGTGATAAAGAAAATTTTTAGCTCAAGTAAATGATTTTGGTTAAGTTTCGTCCTCTAAGTTGGATGGTTTGGTCATGGTGCTGTTCTTCTGAACAACATTAACATCACAAAAGTCAGGTATAAGTAAAGTATTCTAATTTCTTCACATATGACTCATAGCTTGTGCTGTCGACGTCAATCTTGATTGATTATTTTTTATCCTTCATTGTGTGAATCTTTATTTTGATTGTCTTTCCCTTTGATCAAAATAAAAATTCAGACAATGACAAGTTAAGAGTCAACAATAATCAATCATGATTGAGGTCGACAGCACAAGCTGTAAGTCATATGTGGAGAAATTAGAATACTTCACTTATACCTGACGTTTGTGATGCTGATATTCTTCAGAAGACAAATGAAAAGCTTCATGATTAAATCAACCATTTCAGAGAATCAAACTCCAATAAAACGTTTGAATTTCAACAAATGGAAATAGCAATTTTATTTTATCAGTAGCAACTAAACTTGTTGAAATTGTAACTGTGTACATGTCTTTATAGTCTGTAACATTTGTAATTTTCTCTTCCTGTTATAAGATCAGAAGATTACCTAATAATACACTAAAAAATGGCTGATATAATTGTTTATTCATCAAGCTATAAAGAACTATTGAATTATTGTTTGCAATACTCTGTATTGTTTAAACTATCATGTCGGTTATTTTTCAGTAATTTCTAAACAAAAGTTTATAAGTTATAAAAACTGTAGCCTTTAGATTGTTATGTACCATTGTTCACTGCATCCTTCCTCAGATGATTTTGAAATGAAACGTTATCTGTTTCATTGATTGTAACTGGTCACTATCGATTCATTAATGAGTACGTCATATAAAATGTTGATTTTAAAGAACTTTTTCAAAAAAGATATTGACTTGGAATTTAATTACATGTTTTCTGATGTTTCTTTGGTTCGTTTTGCCTTTTTGTAGCTTTTAACTCGTGTTCAAGAATATCTCTTGGAATTAAGTCGAAGTCCACCGATATTTGATCGTAAATGTGGTTCACCATCAACTCAAGGTAGTCCACCTGTTCCAAATGATCAAAAACGTGCGCAATTAGATAGACTATTGCAAGAATTCTCATGTATTAAGTCAACCGGTTTACAGCTTATTGAAAAATTACCTAAAGGTTTATTATCTGAGTAAGTGTTTGTATGATATAGGCTGTAATGAACTGATATCAAATAATTTTAGTTTCTTGACCCTTTGATATGAAATTGCGTTGAAGAAAAAGGACTCCTCTTTTTTATATTAAATCCTATCTAAAATAACAGATTAATTAGATGAAATTATATAAAAGACTTAATTTTTATTACTTTGAGGTAGTCAATCGACAGATTGAGAGCTCTTAATTTTTGCGGTTTTGACCGACTCTTCTATCCTAAAAACTTAATCTGCCAATAGTTAATAAGTACATGTTTTGTTTTGCGAAACGTTATTTTGAGCGCTATAGTTTGAGATGAATTAAGAACTTGGTTTGTTTCATTGCGGGCAGCGTCTGTTACATGGGTTCATTCTGGATTAAGCGGTATCTTTTCAAAAACTCAATGGTTAATAAATCCAAGTTTATGTAATTATTCTAGACATATAACAAATGTCCTTTAGTGGTCCTGTACCATTTTAGTTGTAGTTAAAAAATTACAATCAATTAGACTGAGGATGTAAGTAAATCCCCATAAAAAAGAAAGGTGAAAAATAGTTTTTTTCGTTCATTGCTTAAAACAAGATAGCTTAAGAATTTCAAGGATGAATTGTTGAAGTTTACTTCATAAATCTTCTATAGCGCACATATTTAACTAGATTGACAACTGAACTGTTGGACTTCCATACTAACACTGAGAATTTGAGTGGTATTTTGAAGATAATATAATCCTTTAACCTTTAAAATGTCAAAAATATGTATCTAATAATCTCATGTTTGTTATATTTTCTATAGAGATATTATAGTCAACGGACAGATAACTGATGAAGTAATTCGTGTAATACGCCTTAAACTATACACATTGTGGTTAAAAGTAAGAGAATATGAGTATGCTTTGTTGGGTCGAAATTCATTGGACAATACAACTGCTAGTGAACTTGCTCCTGATTGGCGTTCTCCAAGAATATTATCACATTCTTCAAATTCAACGATGAGACGAGTTGGATCCCTATTTGATGGTGATTTTAGTCCAGTAACTATGGTTTCACCACAAGTATCTGCGCACGAGCGGCACAATCGACCTTCAAACCCTTTGGGTAATGAATTCTGTAATCATAATGGTTCAGAAGAATCAGATGACAGGGGACAATGTGAATCAGTCATTGTTCGAAATCAGTCCACTCCCCAATTAAGACGAAGTTATTTTGATAAACTAGGCAGTGACATAAATTTTACAGCAAAAGTGCCCTCGTCAGATAAACCTTCAAAAATAGAGTCTTCATCATTCAATTCGTTTCCTATAAATAATCAGAAGGAAAGGACAAAATATGAAGCGGATTTGAAATTTAAAGAAAATCTGAATACTTATGATATGAATTCTAATAACAATCTCGATAGTTTATTTTATGCGGTAAGAATCATAAGTTCCGTTTTCATATGAACTTTTTCTGTCGGGAAAATATATTGTCAAACCTATCAATCTTGATAAGGTTTCAGTTAAGATCTTATATGTTATTATTTTCTTTTTATTACAGGTATTATTGAAAACTATTTTTGATGAGGGTGAAGCGATTTCAGCATTTAAAAAAATCGATTCTTACCTAATGTTTCCCTAAATTTGTAATAAAGAAATCAATAACTGGTCACAAAAAACCTGAAATATTAGGTTCAAACTAGTGGGTACCAGTTATCACTATGGTTTTGTTTAATAATATGTTGTAGCTATCAATCAATAGTCAGGACGTTCTCATAAACTCATAAGATCTCAACCTATTACCGTTATTCGTTAGTTATTTCTTTAACTAAATCAGCAAATATATAGTTATAGACACTTACTATTCTTTAGTTTTTGAAATGCATCTTAGTTGGAGTTAAGTAACAGCTGAAATTAAGGATACCAAATTTAAATGGTTGATTATGGGCAGTTGGAATAAATCAATTAATGTAAATTATTCCATTCTAATCGAGCTAATTCAAAATATCGTTTTAATTATAAGATCAGTAGATCTTTGGTTTTAACACTGTTCAATGATTCATAATTTCTAGTAGTTTTTCTATCGATATCAGCTAGTTTCAAGAGTTATCTGGGAAAATCTACATGAAAAGCTCATTGATATTTTTGCCCATTCTCTTCAATTTCTCTTTTATTTTAGTTTAAACGTCAGTTATCAGATTTAACAAGAAGTAATCAAACACGTAATCCTGGAGATACGGTAACCGATATAGAATTATTCATTTCTGAACATGATAAAACTAAAAATGAAGCCAATAAAACTTTTGATGAATTCAAACGTCAGTTGAATTCAATATTTAATGAAGATGATTCTAATAATCAAGTATCAAAACAAAATATTCTTCTTGATGCTAAACAACTTCTTGATAATTGGATTACTGATTGGGCTTTACAACGTGAAAATCTTAATTATCGTCTTGCATTTGTAAATCGTTTGGAAGATTTACAAACAGATCTCGGTGAATGTGTTTCTCGTTTAGATCAATTAATAAAAGCTACTTGTTTATCTGTCAATACAGCTGCTGAAACATATAAAAATCAGCAAAATCTTCACTTGTTGAATAAATTAGGTGCGACAGTTTTATCCGAAGCTGAAATTTATCAAATTAATACTATTAATGAAGAAGTAAAAGGAATGTTACAGACAATTCCGGTAATTTTTATCCCATTTTGATACTTGTAATATTTGTTATCATTCATTGTTGAGCTATTTTGAAAAAAGCAACAATTGATTTTATCTAGTAAGTTGTAGACTAAATTCGTTATGTTTGTAAGCCTATAGAGTCTAACACTATTACGTAACTGAGAAGACCGAAGTATCTAGTAATGATTATACACTCATAACCTAATGGTTAACAAAACGAATGAGGGCGAGACTATAATTTATGAACAGCCTTTGAAAGACGCTAAAGTGTCCACCTATTTACTGGTTCTAAGCCAGTATAAAGAATAAGGATTATGATTTACAGTTGATGTTCAATGTTACGAATTAGATTTAGGATTTTCATCACGAACTGACATCAGTTATAATGCTAAAACACTTGTTAAACAATTACATGAATGAATTTTGCACCAAAATCTAAGATTTGTTATTTCATATTTGATCGGTTTGTCCATAAGTTATAGTCTCGGTCAAATGAGCATATTATTATGGTATGATTATCTTGTTATAACTGACTATAGGATTCTTAATAGAATAAGGTTTCCTTATAGATCGATATCATAAATCTGACATCATCTTTAACTAATATTAACATAAGTTTTGAGAAAGGAATAATTTATATTAATGCAAAATTTACAACACAACTGGTAATTATAACAATGAACATTTCAGTCATTATTCTCATTGTCAAAAATGAGTTTCCTTTAACAAAACTATTCTAGATATTTTAATTGTATTTGTTATAATAAACAAATAATCTTTAGTATATACAATAACGTTTGAATTCATTTCAACCTAACTGTCATTTAAATTCACTTGGTCTTGTTTTACTTGCAACTTCCCATTGTTATTTAGTCTGTCAGTCAGTCAGTAGCAACGTAGGACTTCTTATGTACGGACATTAGTTTGAGTTGCCACACCACATTAGCACACAGATGCAGTTGTCGATTCAAATCCCGTAGTGGTAGAGGTGGTAAGAGTATAAGCACTAATCGGAAAGATTAGGGTTTGAAGATTGTACTCAAGGAGTATAATACAGTGAAATAAATTTGGAAAGAGGAAAAAAGGGACATGAAGAATTCAGAAGATGAGAATTTGGGAGAACATAAAGAATGAATGCACCTGCGCCATTACAAACGATTTTGAGCCATGTCATCCAGGGTCTCTAACCATCGGTTGCTATCATCTCGTGGTCCCCAACCAGGTAGTCTACACCTACCAGCATGGCTCAGTCCACTTGTCAGTGATTTCATGGATTTGTGCCATGTTTTGGTCTGGCCACCCCTAACTTTCTTCCAACCTACTCCTACACCATAAAACATCGCACGTCGAGGCAGTGGGTGGTTGGGCATACGTAACACGTGTCCCAGCCATCTCAACTGATAAAGTTTCACTACTTCATCAATGGATTTGCCATCCTTACCTAGTACCCGTTTCCTAACAACTGCATTACTTACTCGATGGTCCCAGGATATACGAGCAATATTTCGAAGACTGCTGCTCAGTAAACCCGTCCTTTGGTTGATAGACGGATATCTCGCCTACGCCATAAATGACACAAGTTGGTAAAAGCTAGTCGAGCCTTCTGTATGCGTGCTGAGATTTCGTCACACACCAGACCACAAGGGCTGATGAGACTTCCCAGATAAGTGAAGCGGTCGACACGCTCAACTACTTCACTCGCTATCATTTGTTCGGGTGACGATGCCACCCAATCCTGACGAACACCACTTGAGGTAATCAATTCTGATAACAGTTCTCCATAAGCTCTCACTCGACCAGTTAAGTTCGAGTAGAAAGCATTTATAAGGTTGATGTACTTCTTTGGTACTTCTTTAGTACTACGATTGATCAGTTCTTGATTCCACTACTAGCCACTATTCATCATAACTATGATTTTTGTTCTATATAATGATATAAACGAAATAATAGATCTTAACAATTTAATTGTTCACCATTAAATATTACCTACCGAATATAAATGATTGTTTCAATTATAAAGAATATGTAACATATATTCTTACTACAAACTTATCAGTTTGAAGTTGTAATAGGATAAAATTAAGTTCAATATTACAGGTATATTAAGCTAGTGAATACTAACACTTAAGTGTAAACTAATAAATCGGTCACTTTTGTTGTTGTTGAACTATTACCAAATGTCATAACTTAATAACAGTTTATTGTAACGTTTGTGAAATGAATAAAAAAATCTTGATTATTGGCTTCAATAATGAATATAAAATGTTAACAGTATTATGCAATAAAATTGTCAACCTAATTATACATTATAGAAGGTAATTAAATGTATTATTTACGATTAATCAAATAAGTAGTTCATATGTAGAACATACTTTAAAAGTATGATGAGTTAGTTAGTTTCAAGTAAAAATAGGCTAATATAGTTGGTTGTGTTTTTTTTTTTCATGAATAAAACCAAAGTGTTTTTGATGGAGTTTTGTTCTTTGATCTGGATGGTTTAGTTGTGCAATTAAAGCAAAATCATCCACTTGAGTTACAAATCTTCTACACCATCTCAAAACCAAAGTGTTATTTTCAAAAAAAATATTAATTCTATTTCATTCATTCAGATAGGATTATTTGGCTTGTAAATTAATTTAGGATTATGTTGATAGCTTTACCAATATGACCCTGTTAATTTTAATAGAAATCTATGATTGTATGATTCAATCATTTTTGTTAATTATTGATAGACAGAAAAATCATTTGGATTAGATTATAGTATTAACCTTAATTCATAAAAGTAGAAATAGAAATGGTTTCTTTATCTTCTGTTGTATTAAGATGTTTAGTATTCATGTTAAGAGGATATGTACTCTAAAAGTTGCTATTTTAATGTTATAACTTGTGAGTTTGTGCTCCTATCAATGTATAACGTAATGATACTGTCAATTAGAGAACAGTGATTTATCGACCGGACGAATGACGCATAAAACCCGTACGAACAGTCTAAAGTCTTTATCGGTCCTGGTTCCTGTCTAGCCCTGCCTGTTAAGTCCAGAACACTAATCTCAGCCTGTGCGATATGAAGCATGTATTTCAAACATATTGGGTTTTTATACAGACCAAATAGACCACATTGTACTATGAAATAGGAAGCAACATTTGTACAAGATTTAGCCAAAAGTGGCTGTGAATGTGGGAGATAGTAGTTGATAGACTAGACATAACTTAAGAATGGTAAGTCGTATAATAATAGTTCATAGGTCGAAATAAAGCTTGTCATAAGAGAAACACGTATTTGAGTAGTTTAGTTACTTAACAATTATACGATAAAAGTATACCTATATTATTGGTCCAGCAATAGATTCCAATAGTTACCATTCATTATTCTCATCAGGATATAACATTAAGTTTAGTTGGATTTATCAGTCGAGTAATAGTTTTTATCAGTTTTATTGATTCACATGATTTATGATTTATTAACGGGATAAAAGTAAGGTAACTTAAAGAAAAATTGGATAAATGTAATCTACGTCAAAATTAATTACTGATAAACTTATTTTCTACTTTGTGATTGATAGAATGACATATGGAAAAAAATTTGACCAATCACCTTAATATATATGTACACTGTAAACTGCACTACTCGCACTCAATAGAAGTAGTTAATTATCATCTCAGTGAGAAACTATTGGCCATTGTAAGCAGAGATGGATGGTGGCTAGCAGTGGAATCCGGAACACACGTTTTATCCTATTTGAGACTCGTTAATGGGAAGATTCAAACAAACAATACCAAATGAATTCATTGGCTGTTGTGTTAAATAAGATGGTCTTTCTAAGTAAAATTAATATAGATTTACTTTAAAATACGAGTGAAATTTAGGTCAAGAATGCCTTATGCAGAATTTTAACCATATCAGACACCAGGTTTATTCATCATGTATTATAAATGCTCTACGTTGCATAATAGGTTGATTAATATTCGTCATGTGTAACTGAAAGTAACGCATATCATAAACACAGAAGAGTTAAGTTTGATTTTGATGAATGATATTATTTCAACCGAATAACTTCCAATAGCACATAACATACAACTGATGATAAATTGCAGTTCAATTTGTATTAATCTTTACTCAACAGAAATTCATTATTTAATCCTAATTTCATTCATCAGTTTGTTTCAACACAATCTAAAAATCAGAAGGGTTATTAACAACAAGGGATATTGATCAACATATGCTCACTAGTGACTGGCTTCAAGAGGTAGTTCCTGGAGTTCCGGTGAGAAGCAGTGACTAGTGGAGTTCAACCGGCTCTGTTGTCAGATAGTAACTCACTGAGGTGAATGCTAGATGTGGACTAGTTGATGTTAGACACTAACACCGTTGAATGCCTGCTCACTGGTCTGGAGGTTAAGCGTTCGCGTACGAGACCGATAGGTCCTGGGTTTGAATCCCCCGAGGTGGGACCGTGTATGTGCATTGCTGAGGAATCTCACACTTGAACGAAATGGCCGTGCAGTGCTTCCAGGTTTTCCATGATGGTCTAGCTTCAATTAACTCATGATTTCCACTATTAAAATTACAATCTAAAAAAATATTGTTTCTATAGTTTAATGTTAATTTATTTTATATACTTGGCAACGTTGGAAACTACTTATTAAACATTGAATTTACTATTATTATTGATTACTGCTGTAACTAAATTTCCATCTGCTTAATTTGATTCATATTCAATATCAACTTTGATGCAATTCCACTACTGTATGTATAATATTAGACATCAAAATCTTCTTAGGGTCAGTGAAAAAAATAGAAAAGATACATTAGTAATTATTAAAATTTGTCTTTCCAACTAACATATATTATCAGAAGGGGTTTTTGGAGATTTTATAAATTCCACAGATTGAAATCATGAGTTAATTGAAACTAGACCACCATGGAAATCCTAGAAGCACTGGACGGCCGTGTCGTCGTAGTACCGGACTCCTCAGCAGTGCGCATCTACGATCCCGCCCCCCGCGAGTCTCGAACCCAGGACCTATCAATCTCGCGCCAAGTGCTCAACCAACTAGACCACTGAGCCGGCATCCAATGGTGTTAATGTCTAAATTCAACCATATATAACATAACGTTTTACTGTTTTGGTAAATTTGTAATTAACGGAGTGTCTCACTTCTGATATGTATATACATTTAAGTGATTAAGTTGTGTTTGGGCATCTTTTATGGAATGGATTGTCACGTATTATATTACTCATTGATCTGATTATCATGGATACAACAAGATAAAACCGATACATTATAGAATGTTAATTCATACTTTATTAATTAATGTTTTAATAAATCATGCTAACTAACATATTACAGATTGATCATACTGACTATTTCTAATTTTTATATCTGTATTTCTTTTTCTTTATTATTTAAGGCACAAGAGCAGTTTATTCAATCATTGATAAATGAGGTTGAACAATGTGAGAAGTTCCAATTTCCTAATCATATAATGCAAATTAAATCTATCTGGAAAAAGTACACAGAAAATTTAAATATCTTTAAATCTTTTATAGAAAACTTAACAAAGGTATACTTAATTACATTTTGTACTTAATATAAATGTATGCCTATTCATTTCTAAGGAGTTATCAAATATAATGTATGTGTCATTCTCATTGATGATTGAATAGTGCGATTACTAGTTTAAGCGAATTGATATGAACTATTTTTCGTTATTAGGTGTTTGAAGTAAACCCTCAATCTATATTTTGTTTGCGTTTAGGCATTGGAATCCTAATAGTAGTAGAGATTTGCTCATATGCTTGGTTGATAAATGTCAACTAGTTTGCAACTTAGTTTTCGAGATTTTTATAAGTTGACAATAACCACTGAACATGAAGTAAACTATATCATGTTTGGTAGTATGTCACTTTAGTGAATTGTTATAGTAACGGATGTAATCGTCTAAAAGTTACTATCACTCAAAGATTCATAAAATCGCAGTCACCTTCTAGTATTTTAATGTCGAGAATCTGTCATTCAGTCACTGAAAAAAAACGCCATGTTAATTTCACGTCATTAGTTCAACCGAATCTTTTTCGTACAATTGGTTTTGTATCGATAATTGTCTTTTGATCGTGACTGTTGTTAGAACGAAATGGAAGGGCGAGATCAAGTTTTCAACTGTATGATTTTTGTTTGACATTACTTTCTTCTTCAACTCAGAATGGTTATTGCTCTAAGTGGCATTTGTTTTAATTTCAGCGTGATATTTTGTCCAGTGTAATAACAATTTTATTTCAATATGATACTCATTTAGGCTATTATTCTATGTAGTAAATTAGTGTGAACTTCGTTCGAAATAACTTGCAACATGTGTTGTTCATTTCTCTTGTATGTAATTTATAATACATAGAAATCAATGCACAAATGAGTGTATTTTTGGTTGAAGTCTTCGCGTTTCTAAGGGTGAATAAGAATCTTCTTTCTGATTAGTTTTTGTCCCCCTCTTTTGAGCCGTTCAAACTTCCAGTGCCTTTCCTGTTGCATGTGTTTAGTAGCCTCGGAGTTATAACAGCTGTGTATGGTCTGTAGTAAACCACACTCCATGTTGTGTACCAGTTTGAATTCTAGTGTTTATATTTAGTCTTCATTCTTCATGCTGTTCAATATTTCAGTACATTTCCACTATGTTATTGTCGATAAGTACTTATCACAAAAGTTTCAAATGACAGAATACTGACCGAGGACTTCAAAAAATGGGTAATACTCTGTAATATGATATTCAAGAATAGTATATTCCCAGGCCTTTGCTTAATGTTAATGATTTTTGAAAGAGAAATATGTGCTTTATCTAAGCTCATTTGGTATTTAAATAGTTAGTAGTCCACATATAGTGAAGATAATAGATCTGTGGTAAGTATTACTTAATGCTTGTGAATGATATAATATTGCATTATCGAAATTTATCAAAGGGATTAATTGTTTTAAAGATATGATATTTGTGATGTTCACTTGGCAGTTGGATAAAAAGAATTATAGTTGCATATAATTCCTTAATAGTTTAACACGAATACATGTCAAAGATACAACCCATTCTCTCTACATATCGTTTAACAATTATTTCATTCAGTGAAATAATCTATAGACTTATCCTACTGGTATCTAACATCGGTTCATATCGTACACTACCAACAAGCCAGTCTAAATGGTTCTCAAAATCAAAGATGAAAACTGGTAAAGATTGTTTAAAATTATTCCGTATTAATGAAAGCGTCATTCGTTGGTGAAATACAAAAGTGAGGAATTGAAGTAGATTGATGTAAGGCTTCATGACGAAATAGTGTAAAATAGGTTGTTCTACCATAAGATTAACATCCTGTTTTGGGGTTTAAATGTTCACTAATACTTGTTATGGCGTGCAGTTATTTGATGACTATGCAATACATGCAACTGATGGGTTAATTCGATGTAATCAATGTTTCTTAATGATGAATAATCAATAATTAACAGATATCAGAAAATACAGTAACCAATCGGTATAATGTGAGTACTTTTCATGTCAAAAATGACATACCGATGTACAGAAAATTTAACAAATAATTACTTACTTACTTACGCCTGTTACTCCTAATGGAGCATAGGCTGTCAACCAGCATTCTCCAACCCACTCTGTCCTGGGCCTTCCTTTCCAGTTCTATCCAATTGTTGTTCATTTTTCTCATGTCTATTTCCATTTCTCGGCGTAATGTGTTACTTGGTCTTTCTCTTCTCCTTTGGTCTTGCGGATTCCGTGTGAGGGCTTGTCTTGTGACGCAGTTAGGTGCTTTCCTCAATGTGTGTTCTATCCACTTCCAGCTCTTCTTCCTGATTTCTTCCTCCACTGGGATCTGGTTTGTTCTCTCCTACAGTAGGTTGTTGCTAATAGTGTCCGGCCAACGGATCTGAAGTATTTTGCGTAGACAACTGTTATTAAACACTTGAATCTGCTGGGTGACAACTTTCGTAGTTCTCCAAGTTTCCACCATATACAGTAGAACTGTTTTGACATTTGTATTGAAAATCCTGACCTTTGTGTTGGTTGACAGTTGCTTTGAGTTCCAGATGTTCCTCAGTTGTAAATATGCTGCCCTTGCTTTGCCGATCCGCACTTTCACATTTGCATCAGATCCACCCTGTTCATCAATGATGCTGCCCAAATATGTAAAGGTTTTTACATTTTCTAAATCTTCTTTAATTTTGATTGGATTGGTGCATTCTGTGTTGTATCGGAGAATCTTGCTTTTCCCTATGTGTATATTGAGACCCACTGCTACTGAGGCCTGGAGTCCCTCTGAGGGCTACTGCCGGTCCCAAGCCCGGATAAAGGAGGAGGGTTGGGCATGGGGTTAGCAACCCCATCCCGTAGAAAACTAACTCGCTAAAAAAACGCTAACCAGAATAAAAACGCTAAAAAATAATTGGCATGAATAAATTTCATTTTGATCATAAATGATTATTGGATTCGGATTTTGTAGGGTATGTACTAATCACTAAATCTAAAGCCTTACAGTCAGGATTATTTTTTGACTGACACATCAATACTGATAAACAAGTATTTACATCAATCAATTAATCACTTATTATCCCGGTTACTAAAATAAGGAGAGGATGAGCGCTTAAAGATGATGGGAAATAGAAATATGTTCGAAAACCTAATATATACTGCAACCTAGCGGTTGATCATACTTCTATTTCAGTAGTCGATATTGATGATAATTTCGATAAGTATAATGAATTGCTTATCAGGATATATGAATATGGGTTCCACGTGACATAAGCTGATCGAGAAACTGAATGTAACACTTATCTGTAAAGGTTATTTAATGTAGGAGCATGTATTTAAATCGCTTTGCAAGTTAATTGTTAGTTCTTGTGATAACAGGTATGATTATTGATTAAAGTCTAAACTGATAATGTATAATGCAATCGGTAAACAATAAACAAACCTTTCCATTTTTAAGGAACATGCACATTATAGCTCATCTTAACTCGAATATGCATAATTACGCAGAATAAAATGTAGTTATTGAATAATATGATGAAATGTAATTCTGTTTTGTTCAAAGTGTGGTCGTAAATAGGAGTTATAATGGTTATTATGGGATACTAAATGTTTTTGAAAGTTTGATCATTGTTTAAATGGCGCACATAAAGTTTACAGTAGAATGAATAGATATTCTTTCATTGAAATCATTGTTTATTTAACTTAAGCGGTCATTCAACATTGTTTTCACACTTCGTTTTAATCCTATTTAGTTATATCGATATTTAGTGATTACTATTTAATCTAGATTAGTTTGTAACACCATGTAATGGGTTTTCTGTAGCTGTTCAGGTATTTCGTATATGAAGTTCATACAGATTAATCATTCACAAGTCACTAGATTAATGAAACATGATATTTTGTATTACTGATGATAAATATGATATAATTCTGAAACAAAATTAATATTGGATATGTTGCAAGTCAGTATGAAGATAGATTTTCGTGTCAATATCAAATAATAACCTAGTGAGTATTATATCAAATGACATCTGTTATGAGCATTATTTCATCATACTAATAATTTTCAACTATACAGGTAATAAAATGTTTTACGAATAGTTCTTCAATGTTTTCAATGAGACGTTTTCCTACCAAACTTTCATAAGACATGTAACTCGTCGACCTAACTTATGATATAACTGATTATAGTGCATAATATGGTTTCTAGATTGTCCCTCCATCAGAGCACGATAATTAAATATTTATTAGTTAATGAGTTCTGTGACTTACGTTTATTCTTTTAGAAATTTCAGGACATCTCTATCGGTTCTTATTATAAAAAAAAAGATATTAGTCGTTTATCAAGTATATATTTCTTAACATTCTTGCTAATCGAATGTAATGCATTTTGTTATGTCTGATGAATACTTAACTGACTTGTATCTAGTTTTTAAAACCATCAATCTGACAATGTTTCATAAGAGTACAAAGATTGCTGATATGAATTTATTTGACCCCATAAATGAATCGAACTTATATCTTCATATACTACGTTTTACATAATTAATTTATAATGAAATTAACATATAAATCTTTATGATTTGAATTGAGTTGTATCAAATATCAATTAATCAATAGTTTACTATGTGACCACATATTCACCATATCACACAATTAAGCACTTGTAACTAATTGACTAAGTTATGTAACTAATCCTTTTCAAGATATGATTACATGTTACAGACAACTGGAAAAAAAGACCCAATTTTACATGGTATTCTCACTGCAGTCGATTAAGTTGTCTCTTGACATATCATATCTGATAATAGGTGGTGAAGAACAATTAGTCGGAAATTTCGAACATGGATAGTATGCTGATCGACATCTTTTTTAAGATCCGGGAATTCAATGATACTTTTTTAAACAATTTTCATAAAATTATCTGATAGTTTTTATTTTTTTCCTCAATGGACTCTTTTTCTTCATAAACCTTTACTGCAAAATAGTTGCCTATGTAACCTCTTAGATATTACCCAGTATTTTTTGCTTTAAACATCTAGAATTGTTTTTCTATGCTCTTGATATTTGTTCTTCTATCTTTTAATTCACTTGATCTGAAGTTATCTTTGTGCATTATATTAAAACATTTTTCTTGTCATGTATAATGTTTATAACAAGTTTCAAAATTTACTCTTACGAAAATTATACTGAACAGAACGCTGTTGAGAAGACCTATGGGGTTATTTTTTCTGTTCCAACTAAAGTGGTTTAAGTGGATCCTGCCACAATAATTAGTGACTTGTTGAAGTGTTGTCGAAATTTGTGCTCAATATATTTGGGTATATGCTATATTTTCACTCACATATTATTAAGATATAGCATGCTGAGAATTAAATAATCTTTAGCTCTAACCACGTTCAAACTTGAATGTAAACTAGCGTGATAAGGTGATTACTAGAGCTTATTGTTATTAAAAACGTAGTCACTGCACAAATTATTTGCTTTCTCAACCATCTTGAAACAATAATGAACAATTCTATCATTTTAACAATCACTAATAGTACTAAGCCATACGTTTGAGGAATATGGAGCGGGAAAGAATAAAAACTGTCCATCAGTGTAGCGGCAAATATGATTGATACCCTTAAACCACAATTGTTTCATTGTTATTATCAAACCTGTATATACTATCATTTGTCAGCCTACCCATCATCGTATTTATTTGGTGACATTCAAAATTTTTAGTAGGACTTATTATCTAGATGAATTTTGGACTTGTATTATCTCATAACATGCAACAGCTGATCTTTAAATTTTAAATAGATTGTCTTAGAAATCGTCTTTACTTTGTTACTGGACTAAATGAATTTGTATTGCTTACTTAAAACTGTCTATTTCTTGTTACCCCCATACTGTGCACAGTTATTCTCATTAAATGTGTTCATAAAGTACCCTACACAAGAATATTATATCATGTTGTCTACAAAGTATCTTTTTCTTACTATACTATAAATTCTTAAACGTAATTTAGAATAAGTTTTCTATTAGTCAAAAGTAACTACTAACGTTAACCTTTTTTAAACCACTTAACTTAAGATAAATATTGAACAATAAGTAGTATACACTTTAGTTTTATTGAGTTGAGAATTTCTAAGTAAATTAATAATAAAACGGTTATTAACATTCTTTTTCCCTTGAATTTCAATTATTTACATTACATTAAACATAACGATAGATTTGTTTATTTAAGTAGTATTTCTCAAAATTAGATCATTATTAATAACACTAATAATTTTCTTTGTAAATTCTTGAATATTTATTCATATTTTATTAATAATTTATCATATTCAGTTTTAGGTGTCATTAGATTAATGCATTGAACTAGCGATTATTTTACGTCTTGTATATGCTAGTAATTAACTAAGCAATATTATGTATGCGATTATGATTATTCAATACATAAGTAGTATTTGATTGAGATCATGAACCGATTGATGTTAGACCACCGTTGGAAACCTGCAAGCACTGGACGGCCGTTTCGTCCTATTGTGGGACTCCTCAGCAATGCGCATCCATGATCCCGCTCACGGGATTCGAACTCAGGGCCTTCAGTCTTGCACGCGAACACTTAACCTACTGGACCACAGAGCCAGCATCCAATGGTGTTAATGTCTAACCTCAACCAACTCACGAAATTGCGCGACCATCTTCCATTGTACTGAGGCAGATACCTGTCTCTACCCGACACGGATTAGCTCCAATGTTCACGGCTTCTCACTAGAACTTCAAGAATTCCCTCACGAAGCTAGTCACTATTGAGCACATGTTAACTATCAGTATAGTGGTTCATGATCTCAGTCAAAAGCTTAATATTCTCCACGACCACTATACTGATACATCAGTAGCAGTTTACAAGCATACAGTAATAACTAGATTGAACATATGCCTATTGTCTTGTTCAAAACTGGCATAATTCACGAAAAATAATCTCAAAGTTGGGTTATTTAGTTTGAGTCATAAAGTTCTGTCATCTGATTCGGCTGTATCCAGTAGTATTGGACAGTGTTGATCACTCCAACTGTTTCTTCTAAGTGTTATATATATATATATATATATATGTTCCGAGAGATAACGTTTTCGTCATCTGAGATTTTATCCTCGAAAATCTGACTAGATGATATTATTCAGTTAGGGAAATGATATGGACAAAATATATAATTTTATAGGCGCCTTGATTTACAACACAATAGTAATTAGACTGAATTTTTCTCTATTAAAATGTAAAGCACTCTTAGTTTACTCCAACACATAACCCGACTGTAATGAGTGAATTAAGCGGGTCTTATCATCTAGTGAATCAACGATTAGGGCAATCTCAATATAGATATCAAAACCTTGCTTAATTTTTCTTAGACTCAACCATATTTAATATAAGTGATTCTTGGGTTAGAGGAGAATTATAATACAAGCCAGTTCGCTACTTATTTATAGTCATGAAACTTGACTTTTGACGATATGTATCAGCAATGCTTACTATTGTGTTTTCGAAGCATAGTCTTCATATCTCTAAACCACTAAGTAAGTCCAATGTTGTAGGAACGTGGGTTAATATTTACATGAAGCAGACTTTTGAATTAGGTTTTAAAACTATTTTTTTAATCTGGCAATTCTATATAGAAATCTGCATAGTGTATTGGTCTTAGATTATGATTATTTTTTTTTCTAATGAAATCTTTTTCTTTGTTGAAATCCTTTGAAGTAACATGTATATATGCTTTCCCTTAGACAACATTAATTTATTGGGAAAGAGAGAAGAAGAATGTAATTTCATCAATTTCGATCAGTCTGATGAAAAGGATCAATAAAAATCTTTTCATAAATTTTCTTTTCAAACATATTTATTCACTACATAACATTATCATTTAATTAACCCTAATGAAATTTTTAGGCTTATAACATTATTCCGGAGTTGAATGGCTACAAATCGAATTATTTATATCGTGTATCTGAACCCAGTAAACAAGTGTCTTCATTGAATCAGGTAAATAGTTATTTTTTGAAAAAAATGATTATGATTTTTTATTTCACTTAGTCATCTACAACGTAGGACCAGGCACATATGTGCATCGGTCAAAGTTGAACACTGAATTCATACAAGTAGTTAATTCAGTGGCGGTAATATATAAAAGAAAGAATGCGTATAAGAGTATAGTACAGGAAAAAAGAATTAGTTCGTAGAAAGAAAGAAATAAAGCAATTTTAATCTCATAGTTTGATGGAAGACAAAGAGTTTATACACCTACGCCACTGTGATCGATTCTGAGCCATGGCATCCAGAGTCTCCAGCCACTGGTTACGATAGTCACGCGGACCCCAACCAAATAGTCTGCATCTTCCAACATGGCTCAGACCAGAAGTTAGTGACTTCAAGCACTGATGCTATGTTTTGGTTTGGCCACCCTTAACTTTCTTCCAACCATCCCCAACACTAGTCAGCTTTGCGCAACGTGGTAATCGGTGTTCGGGCATACGCAAAACTTGGCCCAACCATTTCAGTCGATGGAGATTCACAAACTCGGTTTGGATTAGGAATTATTGATTGTGTATTACTGTGCCATTGGAATGTTTGTTTGAGAGTTTTATTATATAATTATTTATATGGATTAAACAATCAAATGACATGTCGGATACAACTGTATATCACATTAAGTTACCACACTTCACATCAACTTATTCAGAAAGGCAATTCATGAAATAAATTGGTCGGAATAGGGAACGTATTAGTGACGGTGAAAAAAAACACAGAACATTACTTCCTTTGTCGTGCATAATTTGAAAGGATTTAAGAACCTTTGAAGAATTTTCCAATTTTAATAACCTGGAGTTAAAAACAACCTACAATCATAAGATTTGTATTTAAATAACAAACTTCAACTAAAATTTCGTTAATAACCAGATAGAACAGTGTTGCAACACTTCTGAAGTGTACATTTTGACCAAATTATTTTATAGAGTAGAAACAAATTATTTACTACCATTAACTTATCATTCGTTCAACTTAAATAGATATTGTTAAACTGAATATGACATGGTCAATTAATTGTTTTAGTGCCATGATCTCTTTTTACCATGTCTGATGATCCAGAATCTTCTTTCACATATTATATATATTTACAACGCTCTTTGTATATCTTCCATTTCATTACATTTATTTGAATCACCGGTTCGTCATGATACATATCCTCATCTAACCTGTTTTACAGTTATACGTATATTAAAGTTATGTTACTTTTGATTTTAAAATATTCTAGGTTGTAAGGAACTGATACGAACCTAACGAAATTAAATGAATTGATGTTACTATGCTTACTTCTTTGTCCTTATTCGTTTGTAAATGGACATCATTAAATTGAATACCATGAACGTAATTGTACTAGATGTCACATTAAGAAAATTATTTCTTTCATGTTCATCTTTACTTTCTATCTAAGGCCATTTTTATCTGGACACTTCAAACTGATGTCTGTAATATATTAGTTTCATCATAATTTTTTTTCTTTATATCTAACATAACCTGAAGTAAATCAAATATTTGAAACCCAAATTACTAGATATGATATACTCTAATTATAATAGTTACAAATTACATTCAAACGACTTTATGACAGTTTCTTCTTCTGAACCAAAATTTTTTACGGAATAACGTCTTAATACAGCAGTGACAGTTGATTGTGCTATTCTGTTTTGAAAACGAATTCCATTCCTTGTAATGAAACATTTTAACCGAGTGAGCTCATAATTTTAATTGTTGTTGTAGTGTGAGCTGCTTGTATCCATATAAGTAGTATATGACTATGGTCAGCAATAGAATGTAATTCAGTAAAAGATCGAAAACGAAAGGATGGGAACGGAAGACACTTGGTATGAAAATGCATGAACAACGAAATCTGAGACGATGGGCTGATATTTGCAAAATGAACAATCAAATTTGAGACTATTGATTGATATTTTGCAAATTAAGTAGTCACTGTATGGTTCTCAGATTTTAGTGAGATGTTCTGTAATTTTTTGCTTAAACACATTCGGTTGTTCTCACTCGTGTTCTTGTTCGCTGCACTATCACTGTGAATATCTTAGTTTTATTGTGTACCGTCTGAGGTTTTTAAAATAGTTAATGTATTATAAATGTCCTACTAGTTTTCTATTTGTCACTTGTAATCATCAAATATAACCATTTTCTTCATATGTCATCTTTTAGATTGATGGTCATAACTTGGAACAAGCTATTTATGCTATAATAAAACCTGATTGTTTATCTCCTAATGCTGAAAACTTAAGCAAGATATCTTCAACATATCCACAAGTTTTATGGTTAATACAATATTTAAATGGTCAATTAAATTTAATCAAGGAATCACAAGAAGAATTAGATATGTTAATGTTAAATATGCAAGTGGGAAGTGCATCACCTGTTGATCTATCTGAATTAGTAACAAAATCCCGTAATAATAATAATAATAATAATAATAATGATCAAAGATATAATGATAAAAAGTCGCTTACAAAACGTTCATCATCACCATTATTTTCAGATGAGAATTCATCTGTTGGTCATAGTAATAATGTAAATGCAACATTCAAATCAATACCATTAACACATCATTCATTTCCAAATAATATAAACTCAGATAGATCTGTAACACAAATGAATAGTAATAATAATTTCAATGAAATTAATTCTGCACCACCTATCTTATGTTCAACATGGAGAATTATTAAACCATTAAATAATATACAATGTAAACTTGGTGATATAATTAAATTACAATGTTATTTTAATGGTCCATCATCTAGAGATGCTTTTAGTGTTTTATGGTTTTATAGACCATTTAAATTAATCAAAGGGCAATTAAGTTATGGTTTAAAAGAACGAATTAATTTAACATGTTCTAATGATATTGTTGAAAATATTAAAATAGATTTTGTTGAATTGATGATTAAAAATGTCACAGCTTATAGAGCTGGATTATATACTATACGTATAAGAAATGAAGAAACTGGGAAAGCAATGAAAAGTAATGGTAAGTTGGTGATGTAATTAATATGTTGTCTTTTTAAATTTCAAATAATTGTAATTCGTAACTAGTATAGGGGTTGTTGAGATTATTATGTTTTTGATTGAGATCATGAACCGAATTATGTTAGACCACCTTTGGAAACCTGGAAGCACTGGACGGCTGTTTCGTCCCATTGTGGGACTTCTCAACAGTGTGCATCCATGATCCCGCTTGTGGGATTTGAACCCAGGGCATTCGGTCTCGTGCGCTAACGCTTAACCTACTAGACCACTTAGCCGGCATCCAATGGTGATGGAAACTGGCGGGACTAATAATAAGGTGGTGATTATATTACAATAACCTAAGCACCATTTTAGTATATAAGTTAACTGAAATTTATTCAAAAATGGAAATGATTAATTTGTCATAGCGGCAAAAATTAGAAGCACTATTTGAATCTTAATGACCCTTCATCTGACTTCAATTCGATCGTGTGATTATCATCATCGTCTTATACATGTCATCAATCCTCACACATAATTATCGACTTAACGGAATTATATAAGTCAAATACGAGAATAAATTTCTGAATACGTATATTTCGTACAATTGTTGGTCAGAACAGACAATCAAAAAGACGGAGGGAAGGAAGCGAAACAGATTGAATAAGGCATGTTAGCCAACTTTATTTAACCAAGCGTGAATCGATATTTAAATTCAGACAAAAATCAATTACAGACACATTGAAAAGGGTAAATAATTAGCACTCATAGGATCATATAAATAAACATTCAGAATTAATAAGTGAATAAGTGACAAGATCGAAATGTAGAGTGAGAAGAATGAATAGATTGATCTGTCCAGAGGCTAGAATAACTATTGTGGACTTGAAATAGTACCAGCCCCTACAAAATCAAAGCGTTTATTAATAAAGTTAGAGAGTTGGACTGTCTAAGATAAATTACCTGACTTTTTACTGTAATGAACTGTTACTGTTTGTTTTTGGAGCAATTCAGGATAAAAGTGATCATGTTACTAGGTTCGTAGACAATTAAAATATTCGAACAGCTCATTAACGTCCCTGAACCTCATTGATTACTGGAAGTGAAAAGATTATCTGTGAACACTTTGTTACTTTCATTCTTGCTTACTATTCACCCAATATGTTTTAAAATGGAGGGTTTTTTAACCTTATAGTTATGTCATGAATTAGTGTAAAATTAAGGACGTTCATTTTTCTTCATTCTTCAGTGAATTCAAAATATCACAGTTGTCAAGTTGAATTTTCTTAGAATACAGTATCGTGGAAATAAAGAAGGAACGAATCGAGCGAAGAGATTTCTTTTCAATTAGTTTTTCATCATGGCTTTACACTAATATCCATATATGATTTACAATAATGAAATAATACTCATCGAGTAGATATGTTACGTAATATTTATATAATGACATATCGATTATAAACTAATATTGAGTAATTGGAAGAGAAAGAGTTAATAATAATCAAATTAATTATTCGAAAATCAAGTAGTTGCTACGTTGCATAATATATAAAGAAGAGAAGGAACTAACAAATTATTATGATGAATAGTCAGTAGTAGATATGTAAGAATCAAGAAACGGATTTTGAGAATAAGTAAAATACAAAATACAAAAAATGGGCGAAATACGAAAATAGTTTATTAAAGTTCTGCTAAAAACTTCCCCTATGCCGATGGACAAGGTGACGAGAGTGGTTGTAAAGACTTCTTTTGGATGCAAAGGTTAAGTTTGTGAACATGGATTGCAATGGCTTTAGCAATGTGCAAAAGACGCACTCGTAAACCATGTGACAACTTCTTCCAATTACTCAATGTTAATTTATAATCGATATGTCATTATATAATCATTATGCAACATATCTACTCGATGAGTATTATTTCATTATTGCAAATCATCTATGTGTATTAGTGTAAAACCATGATGAAAAACTAATTGCAAAGAAATTTCTTCTCTCGATTCGTTCCTTCTTTCATTATACAGTAATTGTATTTTAATAGTTAACTACAAATACTTAGTTTTCATCCAAGTCACAAGTTACAAATTGTTATTATAACAGTAATTTATTTACTCAATACCTCAAACAATTGAGTATGCCTTGAATTGATCATTCAAATGATCAATAATATCCAAGTCAATTGAATTATGATTATCATTGAAAAACGTAATCTTATGATGATCAGTTAAACAATCATCTGATTTTTGTTTGTTTGTTTTATTGGAATCAATGTAGAGTAGATTTGTGGAAAAAAATATATTTAACCTTAAGAAAGAAAGAGTATGTTAAACGTTATATGTAACTTACATTGACTATTTTATACTTATTGACCTTAATTAATTTCAGATGCAAATCACTACATTTGTTATAATGATTTTCTTGATAATAATACTTCAGGTAGAAGTTTGTACTGATAATATCGTTCAGAAGAACGATGAAAGCTCTACAATCAAACCATCCAGCTCAGAGAATAAAACTCCATCAAAATCATCCACTTGAGTTATAAATCTTCTCCACCATCTTGATAATAGTATATATGTTATTTACCTAATAAGTATTATTTTATATCGATAACATTAACTACAGAGAAATGTATTGCCTTCTCTATTTCATTGGGATATCATTTCCGAATATACCAAGATATTGAAGAGGAGCATCTTTTGGATTAAATATGAATGATAAATATTTAATCATGCGTTCTGTCCAGGTTTCTAGCTTCATTTTACACTGACATAGTTAAGATATATAATCAATTTTCATCCCATATATATTTAATCACAACAGCTGGAACTAGTTCAGTCATTAATGGTTTATGTAGGATTGGCACAAGAAATATCCGGTATGTATAAAGTTAGCCATTGAGACAGGTTCGAAACCTTCATAGAAAGATTAACTTGCGTTTATTCTGAGAAATTAATAGTCACCAACCTGTTTAGACCATTAAATCCTTATATATGTAAAGCTATTTCGTTTGGTATCAATCCTTGTTGCATAGAGAATAAATTTTGTATAATAATAGATCTAGATTTGGTAACATCTTGTAAACTTAACAGGACTTATATAAAATTTTGTACACTTTTTATACCTAAACCTTAGATTTCTAATTATATGATATAAACAGTAAAATTTGATGTTCTATCTCTAAATTTACTTTATTGATATTCAGCACGGAATTTATTGCATTTTAAATGTGTACAGGAGAAAAAACTCAATAATAGCTGTCGTAAAAGTACAAAAGATCAAACTAAAATGGTATTTAATGTTGAAAGGAAATTAATAGAGTTATTTTGACAAACTATTTTGGTTTGGTAATTCAGTTTTGGAGTTACAGTTTAGGCAGTTTTGACTGTGATTGGTCAAGAATACGATAATCAACAAATTAACAATAGTTATTCGAGAACACTGATACCTGGATGTATTGATAATGATTTCATAGTGAAAGTTCTCTGTATATCAGCCAAGTATTTCTGACAGCATATCTGGAGAAAATGCTATCTACGAAGAGTAATTAACTATGTGCTAATCGACGATTGAAGAGCATTGAACTATTCGTACCAATTGTCGTTAACATAATTATTATATTTCAATACTCAATAACTGTTGTACAATCAGTATTATATAGTGAGATATACATATTCAGAGGATCTACATCGGTTGTTGGGCTTGCTCGAAGAAAACTTTCTCGTTAACGTTCTCATAAGGATGTATTAGTAAGGACTGTTTTCGATAAATATTACTCATGCTTAGCCACTGTTAAAATGGACATAGAGTGTTTCTCTTGATTTGGGTATATACTCAAAATCGTTTACATCTTTAAGAACGACTAATCAAATAAGCTTTATGGGGTCATATGAAATATAAACTTATTATAAATTTTTATGATAAAGGCTGTTAAAAATTTCTGGTTACACTGTTCGAAACTGGTAAGAATAAGAAATGTCCGTTACTCCCTAAGTTGGAAAATTTATTTACCATGTTTTTGTATCCCAGCTTATAATTATTTTGAGATGGTGGAGATTTTTGAGTTTTCGAGTTTCCCGGTTATATCTCTCGGTCGTGATTCACTGTATCTATTCGATAATGATTTTCTGTCTATAGTTTCTTCACAAGATAATGATGTACTGTACAAGGCTATAGATAGAGATCTAAAATTTCTGATAAAGACCCCGAATACTTGTATTTGTTAAAATAATAAAATTTTACTTATTGGTTTGTATTACTTGTAGTACTAATAATATCATACCATTTTGAAAATTAGCTGTTTCGTTTCTTTATTACAAGCTTCTTTAACTATAATCCCGAATATTCTGGAGGATAAACCTGATTTAGAAATTGAAACTCTAGATACATCTACAGGACTCCTTAAACCAATTACGATTGAAGTCGGTTATGAAGGATTATGTATCATTCCCAATGTAAAATGGACATATAATGGTTCACCAATAAATCACTCGATCTGGCGAATGGATACAGATATGAATAGAAGTATATTGTATTCTGCCAATGCACATATTTCCGATAAGGGAGTTTACGAATGTGAAATAAGGGATCATGTAACAAATACAATACTTAAAACGAGAAGTATGTTTTACCCTGTATCGATAACATTTTAATATGTTTTTGACAAATGGCCTACTGTAACACCTTGACAGAAATTGAAGAAAACAGCATTATAAATAAAATTAACAACAATTGTGATATCTGTCGTCATGACGTAAAGTTTGGAACAAAAACCTGGGTTACAATAATCTGATTTAAATTAGGTTGAGATCCAACTCCATCCTTTTGGATATGTATGCATTCCGGTAATTCCAGAGCTACATATATTTATGCATATTGCACTTATCGTACTAGTTACTTATTCTGAAACCAGAAATTTGTTAAAGAAATAATGGTAGATATTTTACATTATAACGTCACAACTAATTTAATAAAATCGCTAAATTAACCGTGGTGGTTTATTTGGTATAATGATCTAAACCTAGTCATTTTTCATCCACCATGAACATATTCTATATTCTTAATTTATTTGACATACGTGAAGTTCATAAGAAAGGAAGGAACTATAGATCATATCGTTTGTTACCTTGAGAATAGACCAACAGGTGTTGTCACTTATTATTTAGTTGATTCTTGTGAGTTCAAACTGCAACTAAATAAGATAAATGAAGCATGTGTGATAGCCCCCAAATGCCCTGGTACGGTCGAGAGTGGGGAGAGTCCGCTCTCCCTCTCGAAATGCTCTCACATGGCCACGCGTATATAGCCTCTGTCAAGGAAGTCCTACACACTGCCTTCTCGTGGCGAGGGTGTTGTTTACGAAGTTGAGAGGACGAAAAGCGAATGTCCGGCGCTTTAATCGGGTTAGTGGACATAGGGAGTCCACCTAGAGGAGTTGGAAAACCCTGATTCCAAACCAATGATGCACATGGGCTCCAGGATCCCGAGGGAACAAATGGTGTATGAACCAATTGTTGGTCACCGGTTACCATAGGACTGCATCTCCTGGTGTTGCTTCACTGCCTTGTGGATCAGACCTTCAGGTCGAAGGCTCCGGGTGTGGCCTCCTAAGAAAACCACCTGCTTCAGTATCACAGCCCTCACACATATCACATGAGATTTGTGTGGTGTATATGTATTTGGTGCCTCCTTGTACCAATATCTATGTGTTAAAATAAATAAATAAATAAGTATGTGTGATAAAGAAAAAAAGCTACTTTTAAGAATGCAGATGTTTAGGATTGATCATAGGAATAAATATCTATCCATTGGTCGATTCATGATATTCGTTTTTAATATGATTCCTTCATTAGTTACGTCATAAGGAACTACTGTCTATCTTGATTAAATATTGTGTTTACAAACTACAATTTTGATGACCTAATATGATTTGTAATTCAATCAATAACCTAGTCTTCTAATAACTTCTGAATTAATGTTTCACGATCGGTTCCAAAAGGGAATTTTTAGTTTCTTCGTGAGATTTTGCTTCGTAACGGAAAAAATATTAAATACATTTTGATGGATATCAACCTCTTATAATATGTAAGTCGAGGATCTTAAGCTCAGTTAAGAATGAATTAGTGTCAGATTAATTGCACTCAAATCGCTCTCAAACAAGCGCATAAAAATATTATTTTGAATGTCTTTCGTATTGAAGGATCAATACAGATTCAACCTTCTGTGCCAGTTAATGAACAACCGCTTGTATTTGGCAATAATCAAACAGTTGGTATGGTATTTGTTGGTGACCCAATCGTTATACGTTGCCCATTACCATCTGTAATAAAGACAGGATCAATAATATCTGTTGATTGGTTACATGACAAACAAAAAATTTACTCAATGAAAACAACAGTTCCGAAACAGTCTGTCAATAAAGTTATATCTAGTAGACTAGCTAATTTCGAAGGAAATCAGTTTCAGCGTGGTGAAACAATATGGCGGACATATCTAATGGATAATCATTGTGTTCTTACGACAGACAATGTTCAAAATACAGATGAAGGTATATACAAGTGTCGTATAAAATCTGACACTGGTATCTATGAGTCTTCAGGTAATTTGATTTAGTTCACAACTGTTTAATAAATATATTGTTAAACATTGTTCAGTATTTTAGATGTTATTATATTACTCGTCAAAGTACATGGTGATAAGGTTATTCGATAGGTGTAAACTTAATACCAGTTAAAGTTGGTATCACTGTACCTAGTTAAGTTGATGACAAAGGAATCTTTGTCATTTATTATCGGTGTTGAATGTACAGAGAATATCAATTCATTATTCATTTTTTAGAGTTTTTAATTTTGACTATTCAATGTGAAACAATCATATTAGTCATAAATATCATTACCTCAGAGGTGTTCTCATGGATGCATGATATAAAAGCATTAGTTTGGGTTCCTTGTGGGTCACTTATGAGTACTTTCAAAGCAGGATGATAGGCAGTTTTAGTGATTAATTATCTATAATGGTGGTTCACTTGCCAAAACATATGACTTTTGAATAAGAAGTTGTTGGTTCGAATCAAGTTACAATTGATTCAGTTAAAACAGTCATTTAATATCATAAAATACTAAACAAGACAAAAAGTCCGATAATAAATAGAATAATTATATTAATGAAAAAAAGTTTATTGTAGTACAATTTCAAGTTATGCTTTACCTAAAGAGATGTATTCATCCACTCAGATACTTACAATAAATGTAAACTTACGGAAACTGTAGACAGTGCAATTAACTTTGTCATTTACTGATAGCTCTAAATTGCACGGATGGTCTTGAGTGATGTATCAGCTAATCAGTACTCAATAATAAAGATTCAGTTATTAAATAATTTTGACATTAGCAACGAACCGCTATATGTAAATAAGTGACGGTTGGTTGTCAATACTAATAACTGGGTTAGGGTTAAGAGTGTTTATAATACTTTTTACCGACTCAAACACATTTGATCCTCAATTGAATAACATTAATAGTCTTCATGTATAATACATATCACTAGTAGCTGTTTCGGTGCAAGTGAATCCATAAGTTAATAATACATAACATTAAAGATTGGGTCTCTTAGATTTTTGTTTAGAATTCTATTGAGCATTGTTGAATTACAGTTGATTTCAGCTTGTTCTGTAATACATAACACTAAACCCGACTTCTAACCCTCAGTCTAAAACTTAACTCCTAACATTAAATCATAACTCTTTTTTGAACCATATAATTGTTTTTGGATTTTACAAGGTTGCCTTTAGAGTAGCTAAAGATTGTTTATATACCGTAACATTGCAAATTTATTGTGTAATTTATCTTACAAGCCATGGTACATTCATTATATAGTTGCTTAGAGGTTTTCTTTTCATCAATTTTAGGCATTATGGAAGTTAGATATTGATAATCTTCTAATTAGGTTTTAATAAGATAAATACTGTCGTTCACTGCATTTTAAATTCCACCGACATAGTTTAATAAAATAATTAATTAAACAATAACCGTTACCAATGTTTACGTTCTATTCTGAATAATGATAAAAATAGAAATATTGACATAGATTACTAGCGAAATTGATCTATATTTCATCGTTATTTGAAATTTCGTTACAGTCTGGGTGTTTTATTCCAGCAAATATCAATCTCTTCAGACAGGGATTTTGTGGTTATTATAGTAATTTAATAGTTGGTATCACGAGTCAATTGAAGCTAGACCACCATGGAAAACCTGGAAACCGTGATCAGTGGAGTTCAACCGGGTCTGTTGTGAGATAGTAACTCACTGATTACAATGGTGGACGGTGGCGCGATTTTGGTGGACTGGTTGAAGTTAGACATTAACACTGTTGGATGCCGACTTAGTAGTCTAGATAATAAGCGCTCACGCGCAAGCCCGATAAGTCCTGGGTTTGAATCTCGCGGTACGGGATCGTGGACGCACATTGCTGAGAAGCTTTATACTAGGACGAAATGGCTGTCAAGTGCTTCCAGATTTTCAATGGTTGTCTAGCTTCAATTGACTCATGATTTCAACTATTAAATTCTCGCTATATTTTTTCCTTGTATGCAGAAATTCTAGTTTCAAGTCAACCTTTAATTTAGATAGATATGTTAATCTGTATGATTTCCATGTGTATTATCATGTATTTTTTCTGTTAAATTAAACATTTAACATTTTATTTAGCTATGATACAGGTTTACGTGTAATCTAGAGATACAAGTTGGTTAGTTAATCATGACTGTATTGTGTATAGGTGTTGTTGTAATTATAAATGTTGTTCAAAAAGAATGTTCTAATGTTATGTTTAGTAATTTCTTCTTTTTTAATTATCAATTCTGATATACTTTAAATTTATCTCTTCATATTACTCATTTTCATTTCCAAAGATCATATATTTGAGATACTGTCTACGTTCATTTTTATCATATAAACGTTGTTCAACTGAAAAGAAAGAATGTATTTCATTTGAATACAGTTATTTCCTTGAATACTTCAACTCAACTGATTAAATAGCTCTACTGTATAAGCCAGAATCTGAACTGTATAACAGCTATGCTTTTTAATTTGGTAAAATTATACAGAATGACATCACTGTCTAACAACCAAAAAGAATGAATCATTCACTTGGTATTGTTTTACTTGTAACCTCACGTTGTTATTTAGAACTACGATTGATCAGTCTCATGTTAGCATATGTGCATCCTGTACGGATTGCCTCGATATAGCCTTAAGTCACAAGCTTTTTAATTAGAGATGGATAGTGGCTAGCAGTGGATTACAGGACGCACGTTTCGTCCCATTTTGGACTCGTCAGCTTGATGTACCTGAATCCCAGAGTAATTGTTCACTCCGTGACACAAACCCAGTACCGTTCTCTTCAACTGCCATCGCGTTCTTCACTTAGCTACTAAGTCCTAATAACCGCTTGTTTGTGCAATGGGGTGAGGTTTAAAGTCACTTGGTGTTGTTTTACTTGTATCTTCCCATTGTTATTTAAGACTGCAATTCATCAGTCTCACGTTTCGTTTATTTTGAGGAACTATATAATAATCCCTAAAACAGTATTTAAAATTTTTTAATACAATATACAGTACTATTCTGGAAATTATGTTAGAATGGGGAGTTTGTGGAAATCGTAGTAACTTCTTGTAATAGTCGAATTTATAAGTAAATTTAAGCTAGACTACCATTTAAATCCTGGAAGCACTGGGTGGCCGTTGCGTACTGCTAAGGAGTCTCATATTGGGACGAAGCGGCCGTCCAATGCTTCCAGGTTTTTACTGGAAATTATTTTGTCACAAATTTTCAATCGTCAATAGTCAATAATTTAATTAATTGCATCTTAGTAAGAAGAAACTTAATCACAACTTATATTTAAATGAACTCTTTTCCCATATTTTCCCTAAACTAGTGAAATTATCTGATTTTCATGTTTATTTATTTGGAATTGTTTATGTTTACATTGGTGTCTGGTTATGTGTTAAACACAAATCATACTTATATTTAATTTGGTTATTTTGTATATTTCAATGTTTTAATTCATGTCGTGTATCTTTGATTTGGTTATATGCAATAATTGGTTTGCTGAAAATATTTGTTGTCATCGGAACAGTATTGTAAATAGAGTAATCGATTTGTTGATTGTGTTTTTTTTTTGTGTGCTGTTGAATTTGTAACAAATGATTGTTTTATGGTATAGTTTCAAAATGATTCATTAAATATTTTCCTTTAAAAGGATCCTTATCTTTAGTTAAAGCTGTACATTTCTCAAGAGGGTTGCCTACTTTATTAGACATTTCAAAAGGTGATCGAACTAAACTGACATGTTGCTTAGAAATTCTACCGTTTAAAGACAACAAAATTACCGACTCTATCAACAACAACAACAACAATAGAACTTCTATTAATCAAAATGTTTCACCAACGTCATCAGTACCGCTTTTATCTCCGTTGCCAATGAATCAGTGGGATCAATTGTCTTTACAAATTAATTGGTTTTTAAACAATGAATTATTAGACACTGAAAAAGCTAAGAAGCTGAAGATAAATACTAATTTTGTTAATGGGCTAGCTACTTTATCAATTGATAGTGTATCTACTGAACATGAAGGGGATTATTGCTGTAAAGTGGAAAGCTCAAAGGGCATCATTCAAACATATGGAAAGATTGTACTTAAAAGTGAGTAGAATTTGGTTTTTTTTTCTTGGTATTTTATTAAATAGATATCACTAGTTTAGTAATAAGCAAACTATTCTTTAAAGTATATATTCTGAGTTATTGTTTTCTCACTATTCTAAAATGTAACCAGCAGGGGTTATCTAAGAACCCCAATGGTCTTAGATTTACTGTTTATTCTTATTATGTATGTCGTTTTGTAGTATATTTTATGGATAAAGCTTTTTTTCACAAATTAATTTAAATATCAACTTTAATATTGAAATATTGTTAAGACTTACCTTTAATAAGCGATTGTGTCACATCCCATTACGTCTATCAATTTACATGTATGTGTCGAAACACGTACATACGAAGGAGCAATCAAGATTTGCAATTAAGGGTGGGTGAACAATGTATATTGTTTAAAAAAGAAGCTTATCGTCAAGTTACATAACGAGAGGACGTATAACTCTAGTAATAATTGTTCCACTTGAAACTAAATATTACGTCACAATTGTGTGATTACGTCACATTACCTTAATGGATAGAGAGGAAGGAGAATAAACAGAATAATATAAGATGAGCGATTGAATTTCATATTATATAACAATGCAATTAGTTGATAACTTTTTATAGGAGCACTTGAGTAATAATGTAATGAGCAGATGTAATTAATTAGTTTTAACTAACCTGAATGGGTGGAATTAATTTATGTAATTCTGCAGACAGTTAATCGACAGTCGAAAGATTTAATCAACTTTTCCAGAATGTATAAGCGGAACCAATCAAATTGTCTGTGTAAGATGGTTTACTGAATATTTTAAAAACCTGAAGTGATTACTAACAATGATTGAAAGTAAGATTACCTAAATATCACAGTTCTTTCTGTGGGTTTTTTTTGTAAACAGAAAGTCTGATGTTTATTAGGAGTTGGGATAAAGTTTGTGCTGATGACGTCGTTCAAAATAACGATTTAAGCTCCATGACCAAATCGTCCAGCTTAGAGAATAAAACTCCACAATGTTGTGATAAAGTTCTTGTTTCAAATTCTAATTTATTATAATTAGAATTCATATATAATTTACTTATCATTCGATTTTAAATAATCCTTGATTTAGTTATTTATCTTTCAAACTTTGAACTACATTTTACAAATGCATGTGATTTAATAGTTGAATTCATGAGTTGATTCAAGTTAGTCCACCATGGAAAACCTGAAAGCACTGGACGGCCGTTTCGTCCTAGTATGGGACCCGGCAGCAATGTGAATCCACGGTCTCACCTCATGGGATTCGAACCCAGGACCTATCACTCTTGCGCACGAACGCTTATCCTCTAGACCACTGAGCCGTCCAGTTCTTCCAGGTTTTCCATGGTGGTCTAGCCTTAATTGACACATGAATTCAACTATTAAATTACTAAAATCTCCACAAAACCATCTTTATAAAATGCATATGACTTAAACCATTTGCTTTCCATAACAATATATATATATATATATATATATATATATATATATATATATATATATATATATATATATGATCATGATACATCACTTTAATGTTTCTTATTATCTCTAAATTTCAAATTGTAATCAGCGTGTAGTACTGAGAACGTCGTAATGTCTTAATGATTGTAATTGTTTTAAAACTCAACCCCACTGTTAGATCTTGTTCCTGTGATATATTACTAAGGTAAAAGAAGAAATCAAGTTGATTACGCCTATTCACGGTGGAACTTGATCACAGTGATCTTAAATAAGGCTGTCTGATATTTATATTATTCTAACCTTTTAATGTCTCTTCATGACGAATATTGTTCATTTACTATTTATTATTCTGTATTCTATCCGGCAATTCTCCTGATTGATTATACCTTTGTAAATGAAGTATATCCCATAAGTAAAAATCAGTGATGCATTGCATAAAATAAAGTATCTTTATTGTTATGAAAAGCAAATAAACAAAGTTCATTTTAGAACTTTGGAACATTTTCAATTTCATCACAGCTCTTGATCTCGATATAATCTCTAAAAGTCAATAGTACAATAATTATGTATCACGACACAGATTAACGTACCTTTAAACCATACTGACTGTTATAATCTTTCTGATCATTGATAAGAATTACATGACGTAATGATCGTTTGATTATATTGATAGTGAACAATGAAGTGGTAAATTTGAAAATTTGCTCATTATGACCTATCTTAAAATCCCAAGCAAACCTATATCAAAACGTGGATCTAATGAATAATAATAATAATATAGCGTAAAATCTATCAAATGGTTATTGCTTAATCTATAGTTGTGTGTCACTTAACAAATGAACATTTAAGTATGAATTTAAAGGTCACCAAATAAGTCATAGTGATTCATTTCTATTTGTCATTACAAATAACATATAAATTCAGGACATTCATACATACAAAATGTAATTCAGCTAATCATGATTTAAAACCATTCAGTTAGGTTTGCATAACGTACATTCACTGAACTGGCATTTTAATCTGAAAATTCGATCGAGTTAATTGTATTGCCACAATACGTAAACGTGTACTTGGCTAATGGGTTGATATTAAATTTAAATTTAATCAAATATCAAAAGAAACATTTGTAGTAAACTGATTAGGCATGTGGGACCCTTACCTGACTCCATTTGTTCGTAAGTGAATAATTAACAATGTCAAAATATAGCTTGAGAAGAATGAATAAATTGGCCTGGGCGAGACTATAATTTATGGACGAACCAATCAGGTATAAGATAACAGGTCTCGGATTTTGGCACGAATTTCACTCATCCATTTGGCTAAATAGAGTTTTGGCATTATAGCTAATGTCAGTTCGTTATGAAAACCTCTAAATCTGATTCCTCACCCTAACTATCAACTGTAAGTTAAAATTCTAACTCGTCACACTAATTTATAACCCTCATTTGGTCTTAGTTATCAGGTGGACACTCTGAAAGTCACTTTAGCGTTGTTCAAAGGTCGTCCATAAATTATAGCCTCACCATTGGCCCATCCGGAAGGTAGAATAAGGTATGTCGGTTTGGCATAGCAACCGACACTACAGACGTCAATTTATAATTTCGAGTCAAACTAATTTACTTTCAATTATTTTATTTATTGACTGCGGTATTTTATATACATTTATGATACTTTAAACCTTAATTGCACAGAGGAACCTACATCTTTCAAATTTATAAATGATGGGCCTAAAATCATTGGAGAAATTCTGAAATCACCAAATCCGATCACAATTAATCAGTGTCTGACTCTTACAGTAAATTATACGTCAAATTCAATCCCTGAAATTATATGGCTGAAAAATGAACAGAAACTTGATATTAATAGTTCCCGTGTTAGGGTAAGTTTAATGTTCTATTAAATCTGATAAGCTCCACTGTTCTTTCCTTTTTTCTGGAAGTTTTGGTTTGTTAGCTTATTTAAATTCAGGTACTATATAATGGATATCTGTCTATCATTTTTTAGAAAATACAGTTATTCTTTACATCTTTAAACTTATTGACACTTGAAAAGCGGACATTTGTCCATTTCTCATATTTCGTGGATTGGTTAGAGTTAGACAATTACACCATTAGATGCCGACTCGGTGGTCTAGTAGCTAAGCGCTCGCGGCAGGCGGGATTGTGAATGTGCACTGCTGAGGAGTCTCACAATAAGACGAAATGACTGTCCAGTGCTTCCAGGTTTTCCGTAGTGGACTGGCCTCAATGGACTCATGAACTCAACTATTAAAAATTACTAATAATATCCACAAACCCCTTATGATATTTCATTTATCTCAGATTTAAATGTGTTCTATGCAGCTCAAAAAAGATTGTGAATACATTCCTTTCATACTATATTTCAAAATCTTTATGGTAATGTATAAATACAATTATCCTTCATGGTATTGCATATTTTAGTTTTAATATTCTGTTTTGGTTTATCATAATTTTGTTCTCATCAGTATTAATACATTCTTCATGTATAGTTGATTGTTTTCTTTTTTGTCTTATTTTTTTTAGATGGATATAAAAAACAATCAATGCACTCTAACTATTTTTGATACAAAACCAGAGGATACCGGTTATTATACTGTAAAACTGAGTGATTCTTTTGGTATTGTCCAAGAAACAATCTTTATTGAAGTGAAACAGAAAAGTGTAAATGAAATCACTAGGTGAATTAATTATTCCGTTTTTTAAAAAAATTTTTTTATGACGATCAACAGTTTATCAGAAGGGGTTTTGTGGAGATTTTGGTAATTTTCAGTGGTTGAGATCCAATAGACTCATTTCAACTACTGAAATTACTAAAATCTCCACAAAACCCCTTCTGATAATAATCATTTGCTCACTAGTGACTGACTTCAAGAGATACTCCTGGAGTTCTGGTGGGAAGTCGTGACCAGTGGAGTTCATCCAGATCTGTTGTGAGATAACAGCTCACTGAAGACAATATGTACGGTGGCGCAATTTCTTAGATCAATAGTTTAGCATAAACATTTGTTTAAACATATTGACGATTTATGTAGTGAAATACCTTATTTCAATTTGTCAGTGATATGCAAGAAATGACCATTTGTCGATAAATAATATTATTTTGTCTTGTCTTTGGTGTTAATTAAGTTTTAATCTATCATGTTGGTATATTCAAGTGACACATCATGATTGATGTTAAATGGTTCAAGATAACCAACCGGAATATGGTTTTAAGTTTGAAACAGTAAGTGATAAGGGTTGAAATCTTTAGTTAAAGTTCTAGGATCAGGGTTACATGTTTATCGATGAGAGTTGCTGAGTTGATTAAAATTTACAATATAGTCAGAAAATGAAATCCGAAAGATTTCTAATGACTTTTGTTTAACTTCTATTGTTGTCAATGTACATTACATAACGTTTTTAAAATTTCTTCCAAAATTACTACTATACTGTAAAGTAGTAACATTCTGAAATTGTCTGTATATACTACTCAAAGGCTTAATCGTACTAAGTTTAAGGAATATTAATTTTGTTTTTATATTTCCAACTGTTTTGTCTCATCTAATAAATGCATGTATTGCAAGGAAAGTTTCCTAAGATGAAATGATTCTCTAGTTCAGTTACCAATGTTTTATGTTATATTGTAGTGAACAGAACACGGGTGGGGACAATCGAATGTATTTAACACGAAATTACAGGACTTGTTAATAAAATCTAATAATCATAAAGTAAATGCTTAATTTGCAAAATGTCCACCAATTGTCTCAAAATGACTCAGACTTCACTGTTCTTGTATTTCCATACAAATTGCCACCTTTTTTCCATTCTTTACTGCTCGATCCTCTTGTCTCTGCTGCCAGACCTTCTGTTCACGACTAACATATACTACTTATGTCAATATAAGTAGCACACACCACAATATTACCTATCATTCAAATCGAGTTGATAACTAACACTACTGAATAGTTTATAATACTGTTGGATTAGTTTTCCTAAACTAAAGTTTCACCCATAAATAATAAAACCTCATCCCAATAAATTTCTGAAGACAGAATTACTGAATAAAGGTATCTTAGGTAATGAAAGTTGTAATATATTTTCATAACATTTCATAAATATAATATGATATCAGATAACAACCAATCGATCAACAGTTAATCTATGGGTTACGTAGCAACCGATACTTATCTCTACTTATTCTGTCAATATCATATTAAAAACCTCTTGATTTTAAGTATTAATTTAAGGTTTTTATGTAGTTGTATAATTTATGTTACTATGCAAAAGTTTCATTTCATTAATTGTTTACCTGTTTTGAATTTCCTGTTTAATTTATTGAAATTTTTATTTCCAGTCAATTAATTTACAGTTTTCATTTTAATAACACACTTCCTGGTTTATAAATTATTTATTGACCTTAAGTTCTAATTATTTATATAAAATAGGTTATATTCTCACGAACTAATTCTTTCATCCTGTATTATATCCCTATACATAATCTTTCTTTTATATATTACTATCATTGATGTAACTACTTTTATGAATTTTGTGTTCATTTTGTTGTGCTAATGAGGTGTGGCAACTTGAATCGATGCATATATGTGCCTGGTCCTTAGTTGTAGCTAACCGACTGACTGACTCTCACGAAATTAGCTTAGTGCTTAGTTTCCTAGTTAGTATGAAAGTCAACTATTAATCTTAATGTAATACGAGAATGATATTCTCTTGAACCTGAAATGTGTGAAGCTTGTATAATGATCATAATTAAGAAAAATTCGTAATTACTATCAAATCTTTATTAAGATTTACACTGATTGTGAACAAATATACCGTAATCATAAACGGCCAGTACAATCAGCTGTTTGCTAGAAAGACTTATGTATTTGTACACTGTAAAAGCTAAAAATGATGCCTTAATGTATGTCGTATAGTTCTCGGAAATCTAACTAACCTACTTTCCAGAACCATGAGTTGATAATAATAATAATAATAATAATAATAATAATAATAATAATAATAATAATAGGTATCATTACCAAGGTTTGATTTCGAATAAATTGAGCATTGGGTTGATTGTTATAAATAAATAATATATTTGTATGGCATACGTAGAATCAAATATCTTCGCCCACAACATCATACCACGAATTTGGCTTAGATATGTAGACGATACATTTGTTGTTATAAAAAAGACTCATCTAAGATCGTTTTCAAAACGAATAAATACACTTTCATCGCACATCAAATTCACGAATGAAAATGAAAATGTACATGGTGAGCTACCATTCTTGGATTGCTTAGTAAAAAGAAGTCCAACTGGAAGTCTAAACCTATCCATTTATCGAAAACCGACGCACTCAAATCGTTATATTGACTTCCATTCAGCACATCCTTTCAGTGCTGAGATCTCGCTAGCCTTAAATCTTTTTAGAAGAGCTAACAAGATCATCACATCAGAGGAAGACAAACAAAAAGAACAAATAAATGTAATTAGCATCTTACAATTTCATAATTTTCCCATGAAGATTATTAGAAGTATATTAAAACAAAACAGTTTATTACGTTATAATACTGATTCGAATGAAATGCCGTGGATTGGTACTGCAGTTCTACCGTACCGTCATGGCACAACAGAAGAAATCCAAAGAATCCTAAAACATCACAGAATTAAAGTATATTACAAAACAACGAACACACTGCGTAATGCTTTACTTCGCCTGAAAGAAAAAATCCCTTTCATGTCCACACAGAACTGCGTCTACAAATTAGGTTGTATCGATTGTGATGCCTATTATATTGAAAAGTCATCCCGCGAAATCTTGACTAGAGCCAAAGAACATATTAGGTACACAAAGGAACCTCCTAATAATCCTGTAGAATTGAACCAACTTCTAATTAAATCAGCAATAGCAGTTCATGCCATTTTCAACAACCACCAAATCGATTTTAAAAATATCAAAATATTGCAAAAAGGCTTTCCCAACCACAAAGAAAGGAGGGTAGCTGAGGCGTTCCATATAATGCTTAATCCTACTTACCTCAACAGAAAGGAAGGTCTTACCATACATCCTACTTGGACCATCCTAGCCATTCAGTTTGATCGTATTTACAATTTCACATTATCATATTACAAATTTAAACTCTATCCTTTCTTACCATAAAGGTCACACAAGTTTTCATTCTTAGACAATGCACACATACATACACATACAAATTTACATACACATCACTAATGAATCACCTTGACGGAATTGACATGACATCAACTTGTTCAGACCTGTTTTTGATTGATCAAATATTATTCTTGCATTGTTCAGTTGTACTATTTAAACTTGGATTAATCTTAATTTGGTTATTTATTGTCTGAAGAAGTGACTTACACTAAGTTACGAAACGTCAGAAAATTCAATTTTCTACTCATTGGGATATTAGAAATATATTATTTATTTATAATAATATAATAGCCAGATTATTTTTTTTCTTTCAACATTACCTACAGCATGAAAGAAGATGCTTTAAGCCCTAACGATCACATTCATAATAAATCTGTTCCAGAGGAGTATGTTAATAATATAATACAGCAAGCATCTGAAAGTTATTTAAAAGCAAAGTCTATCATATACGGTCCATTAGACACTAAAGTGAATATCGGTGATACTTTGCGCTTGTTTTGTATTATACGACCAATGAAAGAACCATTTTTTGTTCACTGGACACATAATGGACAAATATTGAAAAATTCAGCACTAACTAATCAAACAACTGGTATACAAACGTGGGCAAATTATCCTAAGAATGGATTTTATATTTTAGAATTAAAATCTATATGTGTACAAGATAAAGGATTTTATGGAGTGACAATATCTAGAGTACTGAATATATCTGGTAAAATGGTGAATGAAACAGTAGAAGAAGCTGTTTGTTGGGTTGATGTTGAAGGTGAGAGCTTTTCATTTAATATTTCTGGAATGAATTTAAATGCAAACTAATGTATTAACAAGACACTCTCAAAGACATTGAAAGTGTTTTCATGTTAATCAATCCCATTAACGTCTCCTTAAATATTCCAATTATACAAGTTTACTAAAATATTGCTTTTCGTTTCTTTTTCTCTTCGTGATATTTTACAAGCATCTCAAAGAGGAAGAAATAGTAAAACCTTAGGTTTCATAGCTCGATTTCTTCCATGAATTCAATATCAAATGTCCATTTTAATTGAGAAGGGTTTTAGGCTGCTTGCGAAAATTCTCATGATTATTAGGTTATAAAGTTTGAGGTTGGTCAAAGTTGAAAATAGATAAATTTGGATTGTTTAGTTCTGATTAGCAACATTTGATCTAATCATTTTCAATAAATTAAACACTGAATAGAACGTTAATAATAATAAATGAAATATTTGTAATATCCTAATAAGTAGAAACTTGAGTTCTTTTACTTTTCGTAAGTCGCTTATTGAAAGTAGATAGATAAACGAATCAAATCAACTGAAGTTTAGATAGTATAAAGGAACAAGGTAAAGTACTTCATTAAATCAAAATAAAGAAAATAAGTTTGTTTATGTCAGTGTCTTGGTATTTTGATCAGATCGATTCTATGTGAGACATGACTTCGTGTATTTATATTTATGTTAGTAGGCGTTAAAAATGGGGGGAATGTTCTATATCATTTTGATCTATTTGTCAGAAAATCATAGTGCTATATGTTAATTTATGGCTTAATCAAATGTTACGACTAATCTTTTTTTATGAACATATTGTTTGAAGTAAATATGATCAGAATGGGGTTTGAGGATATTGTAGTAATTTTAATAGTTAAATTCATGGGTCAACCTAAGCTAGACTACCATTGAAAATCTGGAAGCACCGGATGGCCGTTGCATCCTGGTATGGGACTCTTCAGCAGTGTCCACAATTTCTCATGCAGGATTCGAACTCAGGACCTTTTGTCCCTCATGCGAATGCTTAACCTCCAAACCTTTGAGTCGGCATCCAACGATGTTAATGTCTAACTTGTATTGATCCATGAATGGCTGTTCAACCATTCATCCATTGACTGAGGTAGATACCTTTCTTTTCAAGACACGGATTGGACATCGACTCATGAATTCGGCTATGAAGTAAATATATCATAAGTTTTTGAATAATGCACTATAACTTTCAATATGGTTAACGTCTAATCAAGATATAACACAAATTTGTTTGTTATTGAACTTTTCGTTTATTTAATTTTTACCAGGTCAAAAATCCTCGGAAAAGAAAACCGCTCCAGCATTTATAGATGATGAATTTTCTCCAATGATGGAAGTGATAGCAGGTCAAGTAGTTGAGTTAAAATGTAAAGTAGTTGGTAATCCATTACCTTCATTCTTTTGGCTAAAAGATGGTGATATGATGTCATCAACCAATTTAAATTTTCAGGTAAGTTGTTACATTCAAGTTTTAGGGATTCATTTGTGCACTGAGTTCTTTGATGATACATACTTTCTAATTGAACAGGATGTTTTCACTTCGGTCAATCACATTTTTTCTATACACGTAGTTTTCGGAAGTTTTGACCTCTTACAAAGCTCTTGATAAGTATTGTAACATTGAAAGTGTATCTTACTAGTGTATGTTAGTATAATGAATATATATGTATATACAGCCATTAACTTCATATTTTTCTCAAATATTTTAATCAAGAATAATTAGAAGTAATCAATTGTCTTCTTGGCTACTCTATGTAGCTTACAGAAAATTGGTATATTGTTCAAATTTTTTTCTGTCAATCTTAGAAGATATGTGATATTATTTTGATCCTTTAGTTGTAGGTCTGTGGAATCATCATGTTACTTACATTTAATAAAACTCATCTGTATTAGTATAATAATATATTCTGAAAATAATAATTACAGAATTCATGTCAGTTTACAGGCATGATCAATTTGATATAAATAGTAACATTAGATGTAGAGAATAAAGATGTGATATAAGATAGTTTTAAGTGTACTAGTTCAGTAATTGTTTAAGTAGTACATGTATCACAGCGATCCAATGCATCAGCCGGGAACTTTCAGTTTTTTTTAAGTGGACAGCCTGTTGAGTTATGAACGGTGTATTTAAGGTCATTTCCTGTTCCAGAACAAATTGATGATAATTATCTACATCTAGAGAAAGTTAGGTGAAAACAGAGAGCACGGAACAACAAATCAGTAAATATTAAAATATGTCAATCAGGTCTATCATAATGTATGTGTCATGTGACTCAGTGATATACTGTCCCTGTTAGATATTATTTAAATTAGTTAAGGTTGCTACGGACAGTATTAACGTAAAATGACAGCAGGTAGTTGGTTTTACTAAGGAAATTCACTAATAAGAATGGCTAAACATTTAAAGTTCTTATAATCTCACTTGCGGGATAAGATACACTTACAGGTGCTGGAACACTTAATGCATTTTCAGAGGAACCGTATGCATCGATGCAGCGAACAAAGATTGGAAGTGATTTTGTTGTATGGATAGATCGTGGTAGATTATTCCAGAGTCTAGAAAATTTACAGGTAAAGTAATTCATATAGAGAGATGATTTAGAATGGGTTGGTTTCACCAGTGACAAGGAGTTATAGATGTCGTAGTGCGAAGTTTCTGCATATTGAATCACTTGATTAGATGAAAAGGTTAGTTTATTAAGTATTTCGAAGAAAAAGATAAGATTTAGTTTGAGTCCAGCATTCTTGGAGTGGTCGAACACAAACTTTGTACACTAAAATACGTGACTCATTGTTATGAAGGTTTCAAGTTATGTAACCTAAAAGACGGTAGGACTTGGAAATTTTTTTCAATATCTGTTCTGTAAACGACAAATCGTAGGAGTACCTAAGTCTAAGTTGAGTGATGTCTCACCGAGGCATATCCAACCACATTTAGCTGTATTAAGCTACAGCTGTCATTTTGAGCACCATTGTGCTATCATGTTAAGCTCCATGGTGATGCGATTTTGCATATTGTTCAGCTCATGTTGAGAAAATGAATACACTACTAGATTTGCATACAAAGGGGCTAACCCACCCAAAACATTCGTAAATATGATTGTTAAACACTAAAAACAGTAAAGGGCCTAAGACACTACTTTGTATTACACTACTTCTAACAGGGATTGCGTTCGACAAGGAAGAGTTAATTTTGACTATTTGATATCGGTTGCTGAGAAAGGAATCAAACTAAGAAAACAAATGGTTTTTGACCCCATAAGATGCGAGTTTACCTATGAGGATTTGGTGGTTAACCACGTCGAAGGCTTTAGAAATGTCCAGGTATAGCACTAAGACTAGATATCCTTGGCTGCGTAGAGAATAGACTAAATTAAAGGAGTCAAAGTGACATGCCATACAAGATTGATTTTTAAGAAATCCATGTTGAGTATCATTGATAAACTTTTCACTGAGTAAATAGTTGGAGAGTTCATCACTAATAATTTTCTCCATAATCCTAGAGATTCCTGGAGTAATATTTATCGGCCGATAATTGTTTATGTCAGTCCTAACGTGGTATGATGTACGCTGTTTTCCAACAGTAAGGGTAAGAACCTGATTCTATAGAGAGAGTAAACAGCTTTAGAAGAAGAAGTGGATTATCTGGACCACCATACTTGTAGAGAGAAAATGAAATTCCGTCTGCTCCATGACCTCTCGAAAGCTTGAGTGTATTTATAGCTTTACTAATTTTCAAGCGTGTGAAGGAGATAGATTTTATTGAGTTACTAGTTACGCACATAACTCCTGGAGCAGCGCCATTTATGCTTAAGATCATCATGTTTTGATAGAGAGCCCGCAAGTGACTATTTTAGAACGCATATCGCTTAATTGCTTATAGATAATATCTAATTCACTCTTATTATTATCGATACTTTTTGATCTTGAGGTAGAACTCATTATTAAATTAGAGACTGAGTCATTCAGCAGCATGTGTGGTGTAAGTCCACTCTCAATATTATCTGATTCAAAAGGAGTTGCAAAGTATGGAATATAGACAATAACAAAATTGTCATTATCTGAAAAATTAAGGCTTTTCCGGGCTCTTTTTTGTTAGTCGACCCATTTCGCTTTAAGTGTTAACTCTACACTTGGAATCAACGATATTTAAACACTTTATATTAGATACCGCGTTATTGTAACGCAAAGTTCAAACGTGCCGCAGATTTATTATTTTTTTTACAGTGATAATACATTTTAAAGAGTCATTTTAACCCAATAGCACCTAATTCTATCTAAACATGATATTTTTAGAGTTCTTTTTGACAATCATCAGTTTATATACCTACTGTTTAATGTTCTACTAAATATGTCTGGATAGATTATAGTTTAAAATTTGTTAAGATCAGTTTGCCAGAACACCGATTACCATGACGTGCAATGCTAACCGGTGTTGGATATGATTGGAAGAAAGTTAGGGGCGGCCAAACCAAAACGTGGCATCAGTGCTTGAAGTCACTAACTTCTAGTCTGAGCCATGTTGGTAGATACAGACTACTTGGTTGGGGTCCGCGTGACTATCGTAACCAATGGTTGGAGACTCTTGGTGACACAGCTCAGAATCGATCACAATAGCATCGGTGTATACATTCTCTGTCTTCTCTTAAACTATGAGATTAAAATTGCTTTATATCTTTCTTTCTACGAACTGATTATTTCTTCCTGTACTATATCCTTATTGCAATCTTTCTTTTATATATTACCACCTCTGAATTAACTACTTTTATGAATCCGGTGTCCATCTTGTTGTGTTAATGAGGTATGGCAACCTGGACCGATGTATATATGTGCCTGGTCCTACGTTGTAGCTGACTGACTGACTGACTGAAGATCAGTTTTTGGTCATACCATTTACTTTATTTGAATGAATATTGCCATCATTTAATTTCCAAAAATAATTCTTCTTTTTTTTTAATTTTCAAGATATCTCAATCAAATGGTATGTATAAATTAACTTTACCCGATGTAACTAAACAACATTCTGGGATATGGGATTTGATTAGTTATAATTCACAGGGTTTAATTATCAAATCATGTCAATTGTTTGTTAGTGAATTCATAAATGATTATCTAAAGTTGAATAATAATGAAACTACAACAAATGAAACAATCATTAATATAAAACCTTCATTTAATAATAAATTTCAAGAAAACAGTAAATTAATGAATAAGCAAGAACTTTCAATGGAACATAATATGAATAAATCATTGGAAACTCAATCGAAATTATCGGAATCTAATGTTATTTCATCAATACAAAACTCTAAATTGGAACCACCTGAATTTGATATTATGTTTACTGATAAAGTAATGAATACAGGAGAGACAGTATGTTTAAAATGTTCATTGAAAGGAAATCCAAAACCTGTGGTAAGTTTAAAGATTTATTACTATAACTTATTAGATATTTATAAGATACATAGTTTTATGTAGTAACAACTGTATCATAAGTTTGGCTATGTGTGTTATACTAAAAACAGTTTATTAACTCATGTAGCTTAACAATATACAAGAGAATAGATGAATTTCAAGAGTTGAGTAAGTTAATGTGGTTTAATTGACGATATAAAATAACTGATCGTTTACTGTCAAGAATACTTTTCTTATCACTCAATAGTCACTTTATCTCATAATCCACATATAAGCTGCAAAAATCTTTATGATGAATTAGTTCAGTTTTTGTGTAACACATTCTGGTTATCTATAATAATGTTCTTTGTTAGTGTACTGCTTCAATATAGCCGAACATTTATTTTAACTTGTTAAGTTAGATTCTAAGCTTACATTTCTTACTGTGATTTTAATGTCTATCGAAGTAATGCGTCTTTTTGACTGAAATTATTACTGATTTATATATAAAGTAACTTTTTCGTTCGTTTTCACTGGGCTTGTGGGATATGTATGTCGACAGATTAGGAAATATTGATTCTCTACTTTGGGGAATTAATTTTTTATATTCTCAAGGTGTTTTTTCTGGATACGAAATCCCCGTTTTTTCACTTATTATCATAATGCAAATCTCCAAGCCCTTTTACGCATTAAATCCTGTAATGTATAGACAATATTTCAGACGCTAATTATAACCATTTCAAAGAAACTATGAGTCTAATGGAAAATTATGCTAAATTCAGTAGTATCATAGTAGTGGATTTTTTAGCAATGTTATGTTAGTATGAGTTATAAATTAATTATGATCTAAGTTGAGAAGATCAATATTTATGATGAAATGATTATAAATGTATTCCCAAACAGTTGCATAAGAATTTTTATAATAAATAGCGAAAAGGCACCTTAAATTTGAAAAGACACAAGGATAAAGTTTAAAATATTAAAGATGGACTTCTGGAATGTTGTTGCATGTACCATGTTGGATTGAGCTAAGGATGATGTATTCTTCATTAAAACAATTCTTGATAAGTATACATAGTTAGATGTATGCAACAAGTAAGTAATGTGATATTGTTTAGCTTGAATGATTGGAGCTTACAATACGAAGAAGACATGAATTACACTAAAATATTAATTTCGTTGTATTGCTTCATTTACACACAAACTTATAAAGGTAATAAGACGTACAGAATGTCAAAAATGTGTTAACTCTGAATTCCGTTCCTTATTATATAATGTGAAAGTTGAAGGAATGGGTTTTTTATAGGTTCTATCAACTCGGAGTTCTCTAAAAGTATTCACCAATCACGGTTGACTGCAAGTAATCTGTTAGGAGACGTCATTTGCTGTTAAGCCAGATGAAAAGTGATGTCGATTTTTTCTCCAGATGACTATAGTTTTGGAAAAAAATATTTACATTTAAGTGATATTAAATTCGTTACAAAATCATCTAACTCATCGTCAATATAACATTGAATATACATATTCACAATTCACACGCGTAACGTTTGAACATTTATTGTGCTCATATAAAACATATTAGAATTCTGAAGCTAGTTGGATGACTCTCCCGGTCTCCTACATTGAATGAGCATTCCATATACTTGAATTAGTGGTTTCTCTGGTTGTCGAAAGAGGCGTCAGCCTCGTGACTTCCGAAGGAACTTGGCTTTCATCATGAAGCGTCATAATTTTTCTAAATGGAGACCTTCTAACTTTCAGGACAGAGTTTAAATGGTTTAAATATTTTTTTCTGGTTAGCGTTCTTTTAGCGAGTTAGTTTTGTACGGGCTTGTGACTGGCAGTAGCCCTGGAGGGACTCCAGGCGGAGTTAGTAATATATATATATATATATATATATATATATATATATATATATATATATATATATATATAATGCTATTACATCTGTCACCGTGTTTTGTTTTAATTTTTTCCTTTTCTAAAGGTACAATGGCGTTTTAATGGGAAATTACTTAATTTACCAACTGACAGAATTTTCATGATTCAAAATAAGAATGAATACATATTGTTTATTTATAATGCATGTGAAAATGATAGTGGACGATATGAAATTACAGCTGAAAATGTTATTGGAAAAGCAATTTGTTCAGCCCTTCTAATTATAAACAGTTCAGTAAAATCTCGGTAATAAATCAATCAGATCGTTTTCTTTTCTTATTAAGTTCATCAGGTTTTTGTGTATAAGTAGTATGGTATTTAGAATTACTGGTCATCTATTCCTAATGTGATATTTTTGCAGATTTCTTTCGATATTTATTAAATTAAAAATTGGACTGGAGCTAACCGTATGTTGTTCGATAATTGACTTAATAGATATTCTATAAATCAATATGTAAATTTTATGTAGTGAGATCATGGACTGATTGATTTAAGACCCGCATTGAAAACCTCAAAGCACTGTCGGGCCGTTTCGTCTTATCGTGGGACTCCTCAGCAGTCGCATCCTTGATCCTGCTTGCGAGATTTGAACTCACGGCCTTCGGTCTCGCGCGAGGACGCTTAACCTCTAAACCACTGAACCGGCATTCAACGGTGTTAATGTCTAACCTCAGTGCTTCTTAGTTTTCAGTGGTGGTCTAACATCAATCGGTTCATGATCTCAATCAAAAAACTTAATAATCTCCACAACTCCATACTGATAATATGTAAATATCAGTTATTGTTAAATAAATGTGAAGTGTGTCTATCATGCAAAACATTTCGACAATGCATTTTCACAGTTAGATTTCTCGTTTAGTGTTTGTTAATTGACATGTCCGAAAGCTGTTATCTATGTAAATTGACTTCTACAAATGTTTTGTCATTATCACAAATTACTGTAAAATGTTCACACTCAGATGTTATTTGTTCAAACCAGCTAGCATTATTATACACTTTGATAAGTGAGTGGAAAAGTGTTCTAAATTTCTTCCCGTTTGATAGATCATCGAATATATTTGGTAAATCGAAAAACGACTAGCCACTACATAATTAGTATTTTAGTTTTAAAGCCATCAAATTATCATACAGTTTGTGACATATTCAAAAATTTGTTATGAATTCAAGCTAATGCCACTTTCAAATCAGCTTACCAAGTTCACTTCTTTGATAATAGTTATAACACTAATTGAGTGATAAATATGAACCAATAATCTGAAAAAAATCTTGAAATATTTTGACTTTCTGGCTTACCTAATGAAGCAAATTGATAAAACAATTCATCATATCTATTTAATTTTAAGTTGTCTTGTGATGTGTCTCGAAACTCTAGTTCAATCGCTAATGTGATCATCAAAATGGAAAGAGTCTGGTTCCTCATTAATCAGCAATAGGTATCTTACTGTATGGTGTTATAACTTCATTGTATTTGATGTAAAAGGTAATCATCTTGAACTTTAGTAATACTACTTTTATAATATTATATGGTTGTGTGATGGTGGAGAAGATTTGTAGCTCAAGTGGATGATTTTGGTGGAGTTTTCTTTGAGCTCCGCGGACAAACCATCGAGCTCAAAGAACAAACTTTCACCAAAATAATATGATTGTATTTCGAATTATGTGGATCATCTCGTAAGTTAGTCAAACTAACTTCATTATTTATGCAAAACTATTGTTTTGGAAACTCATTTTGTTTTGCTTGAAAGTGTTATGATAAAATCACTATATAATTCTACATAATTGTGGTTTCATATAGGCATAATAGACCATCTAGTGAACCAGAATATACTGCAACAGAAGCAGAGAAATTAAACATTCATCGCCGTAAATCAATGGAATGTTGTCATTCAGGAACACAGACTCCTGAGAAAAAACGATCTTCTCTTATTCGTTCAGTTAGTGCTCCATTGGAATCCGAGTGTGATGATTGCTACAACAAAATGTTTGTAAGATGTCGTGCTTGTTACGCGCCATTAATCCGAGAACATGAAGATGCTCGAGCGAAACATCCGAAGCCTAAATCTGAATATTTACCATCTCTTTATAATGGAGTAGGTTTCATTATTACTGTTAGTTGTGTTATGTATTTCTATATTGATGAAACTAAAAGATCTACATGTGGCGTAGTTTTCAATATCTGGTTTGTTTTTATGACTGTCCCTTGAAGTATTTTAGCAACTCAGAAACATGGATGATTCCTGTAAAATGTTGAAAAAACCATCTTCATCGCTCACTGACTCAGTATGTTGATAACAATATTAATAAGTTCAATGGTTGACGAAGTTATAAGATTTTCATAGTTTCCTTTTTTCGTATTCATTTATACACTACGAGATGAATTAAATTGAATTTATTTCCTAGTGTAAAGTCTTGTTACCACTGAGGTCTAATTAGGAATATATGGTGACATACAAATAGTGAATTTTCCTCTCTTTATGGTTTAGTAATCAGTATATGTATACGCTGTTTTAAGAGTAAATAGTATGCAGGATAAATATAGTATGTTCACAGTCAAACTCGCTAGTCAATCTAAGCTCAACCACCATTGAAAACCTGGAAAAACTTTACTCGTGAATTCCATTGTGAAAGTACTACAATCCTCACAAATCTCCATACTAAAAATAAAGTATGTTCTAATTAATTTATGTGCTGTAGTTAGTCGGTATAAGTGATTCTGACCAAAAACTCTAAATCAGGCTAAAAAGTGTCTCAATTACTTACATTCTACCAGCACTCTTGCTTAGCTCAAGCTTTTTAATAGTCTGAATACTCAAACAGAAAATGATCTCCGATTGTGGGATTCTTTTTCAAACATTTTAAGTCACTTGTGACCATATAAATAACTTATGGTTATTTTTACAGATATTAACTTCAGAGATATAGCCACAATTGTGTTTTCGCATTTTGGTTTGTTTAAAGATTAGGAAATATGAAAGAATAATGAGTTCTTGTGAATGACAGGGAAAAAGTAATTCTGTATAAATTGTGCCATTTTAACAAGTGAGCCAAATACTCATGACTGAACATCTAAGTCGTTTGTTCAAAAAAACATTTCAACCATGTATTTGAGAAAGTATGCTGTTGAATGTTTAATACAATATTGATTAACATTCAGTCATGTCTATTGTTTATTGATTATAGACTTATTCACGATCAAAACCATGGACCGTTAGACGGCATAAATGTTCAAGTGGTATATCACGACGAATGACTGGATCAAGTACACAAACTAGGTAATTTAATATGGTATAGTTTTTTTCTACTACAAATGGATTTATATTTATCTTATGTAAAGCTAACCACAAGCTAGATCAAACGAATAGAAAATGAAAAACAGCTTAAGCAAATTATTACGTAATTATAAATGCATCAGCTAATGCAGCATGCATATAAAAACTGATGGCCCGGTTTGAATTAATTATTCACTTGTGCATAAGGTGTTAAGTGGTTACGCAAGCGAATTTACTTGATTAACTTTGGTGACCTAATTTCAACTGGTTTCTGAGATTCAATAAGGCTTACATGGTAACAAACGCCATTGTTAGTAATATCCTATAACTGATTCTATGGATTCTATCGACCGTGATTAGATTATGTTTGAAATGAATTCACTTCAGACATCTTGGCTATCACTTTTATTACTTTTAGTCCATAATTTGCAATATCTGATTATTTCGACGTCGTTAACTTTGGTAGTTATGTTCACTTAACTGAAACAATTTTTTTTCGTTTATTTCACAAGATTGTCACTGTAAATTTATTTAATCCTAAATAACAATACTACTATCAGAGTTTAAAGTAGTTTAGTAAGTTGTTTAAAACTAACAGTGAACAGCTATAATTTTTGAATTTCATGTAAAATGTAGGTGATAACTGTGAAAGATAAAACGGTATTTAATAACAAGGAAGATTTGTCAGGGGGATTAGAACACGTTTTCACCTCTTCTGCAGTGGAGTCCATGACAACTTACTGTGCACTCTTTCCGACCTTATGGATGTATGAGTCTCACGCTTCCCGAAATTTCTATACATATCGATGGATACAAATAACTCTATGAGGAACCCTTACTTGAGATATATAAATAGAAGTATAGAGGTATCATGCTTTCATTTGAATTTTTAGATAATACCAGTGAGTGAGCACATATTGATGAAGAGACTATGAACCCTGACTCAGCAAATTGTTTCAGATAATTCACTGAATTCTTTCTTTATCTTGCTGTCATCTGAAGTACGCGCATTTTTGTTCATGAGAACTGTATTATTTCACTTTATTCATTTCGTAGCAGTCTGATTCATATTCATTGTTAAGAGTCTTAGAATCTTCGAAACTTTCCCTGTTTTTTTTAGTGTTTGTTAACATGTTGGCTTATGATAGACATAACACATCATCTTTTGAAATGGAAATTTTTTCGAAAATATTATAACTAAGAAAAACTAACTTTTCTGGACTACTTTCTCCACCTTTTTTAGAGGTAGGCTATATCCGTCGGCGAAATACTCATTTGAGAAAAGACATCTCTGCAAATGGGAATGATATTTTTTATATATTCATTTGAGTGGTCAAGAGTTTTGAAACAAAAATAGGTGGATTTAATAGAGTTTACCATTGTTTACATAAATTCCTTCGTAGCTGTGACAAAAAATGCTTAATTTCTGTTTACACTTTCTCCCTTTTTTTTCTATGTCTTAGGCTATCAAGACATCGAAGTGAAGGTTCTCTATTGCATCAATGTCCTTACTGTGATACATTAATGTTGCCAGTAAATCCACCAAATTTATCCAAACCAAAAATTAATAAAGTTGAACGAGTTTTAAGTTTTCCTGATGAATATTATCAACCAACAGAACAGAATTTATCACAGGAAGAAGGTGAAGATATTTATTATTATCAACCAAATTATAAACAAATTGTTGTTTCACATAAAACTACACGTACAAAACATATGAATATTACAAAAACATCTGAATCACACTTACCCGTATCATCCTTACGTGAAAATAGATTACTATCAATATCACCAGATGTACTTCATAAATCCACAACTAAACCACGTGAAATACCAATTACAATTCAACGTGACAATGGCTATAATCAAATGAATAAATCACAACACCATCTAATTCAGAGTAAAACTAATCCATCTAAAAAGAACAATTCTCAATCAGAACAAACAGTTAGTATTGTGGAAAGTTCAGATAATGATTCTGCGGTTTTTTAAAAACAAAACAATGAACCAAAGAAAACGCTTTGATTTTATACTTTATTGTTCATTTCTTTAATATAATAGTATATATTCTAATTGTTACTTTTTATTCTGTTACATATATATATCATCTAATTTTTGTTATCTTTGGACTTCAGTAATCTTGTACATTAAATCACTTAAACTTATTTCATATGTTAATCACTGTTATGTTAAATATTTGTATACTGAATTTTTACATCATTTACATTTGTATTACTCACTAAAATTCATAATAAGTAGTATAATCCTTCTGAAATCTTATAAATACACAAATAACTAAGTTATCCATTTGTATACTCTCATTCTATGATTTTCACCGTAATAAAAACAGTTGTATTTTGTGTAATCAACAACAAAAAGAAAGGAATTATGTTTACGGTTAGAAATTTCTTAAAAATCGTTTGTTAAATTCAGTGCATTAACAATATGCTTTTTATGTTGTGTGCTACTGTTCAGGTTTTTATTAATCATGTGAACTACATCACAAAATATTATTGTTCTATCTATGAGGTGGTTAAGTTTTAAGTTTCGGACTATTACAAGAAAATAAATCAAGAGTAAAATCTTCTTCAGTATGCTTTCTCTTTGGTTAATTTTTAGTGAATATTACATTGCATTTGTTTGGTTGTGAGATTATGTTAAAACCTATTATACTCATTAAAAATCTACTGTTTGGAGGTGGTAATTACTTTGTATAATGAAATTAACTTTAAGCAACGTTTAATGTATAAGGTCAACATGTGGATTTTATGTAGTCAACGCTATTAGCAAACTGTATATTGATTTTGTGTTCAATATAAAGCAGGGGTATATTATTATTAATGGTAGAAATTGATTTATTAAAAACTATTGATTGGTCACTGAGTAGCGAATTATTTCAGGCTTAACTGGTCTTGCTTAGTATTGATCAAAATATATGGATCAATTTGCAGTGTGGTCAATAACCTAATTAACTCAATATCGAGTGGATCATCTTGAGGTATAAGGTGGCTGTAGGTGGAAACCCTTGACCTGGATTTTCATGTGGTCGACGGTCAACGGCAAGGCATGTCTGTAATCGTAAGGGAACTTGTGCCCTCTGGTAGATATCACAGCCGTACAAGAGATCATGCGCTTCTTGAATAGTTCAGTGGTAACATTTGAAACTATGAAACTGTATGATACAGGATTGAATTCAATAAAAAATGCATTAGCTCTTTTGACATTTCAGGTAAACCTTGTTGATGGGTGTCACACTGCACGAAATGTAAGTCCACGTTTTTCGATCGACTACCTTTGACCATTTAAAATTTGTTTGTTTAGACTAGTTATTGTATGTCTGAAGAATGTTTAACTGTAAATTGATTGTTCAATGTGGTTCTCACGAATAATTTAACCAAATAGCACAGAACATTATATAATGCAAACTAAAATGGATTTGAATTACATTTATGTTTCCAGGAGTTACAAATAATAGTTTATTATTCTTCAGTTGACAGCTTTTTGGAAAACTATTATATCCGGAAATCGATCTGTTCAGTGGTCAAGAATAAAATGATTTTTATTCTATGATATGTTGAAATTCTATCATTTCAAATGACACTATTATAAAAGAAACCAATTTACTTTGAAGAGAACCGTATCTCGAAATTTGTACATCGCTGTATATTTATCTTAAACAAGACGTTCTTATAGCTTTTGATCCTTTTTCAAGATGGTCAGATCGAGGAAAATTTACATTTTACTAAATTTAATTTTTTAATCTCTGGTGTACTGTTCTCTCCTGAAAGTAGGGTTGTGTAAGACAGCTTTCTGAAATCCTAAGCTGTTATGAGGTAGCTTGAAAAAACGTTTAATTTTATGACAACAACTGCAATCAATGGAATAAATTTTTATCAGATATTTCGTTAGTAATAATTGGAGACCGAAATTTCATCTTTTAAACTTCAATCAAGTATTTTGTGCGTCTAAATACCTATGTAGATTAATGATCAAAGAACTTTATAGATTAAACTTGATTTAAATAAGAAAGAAAGATTAGTTCAGCGAAGAGTTCTCTTTTCGGTGAATTCATTTTCAAAGCTGTACAATCGCAAATATATATACTTATTTTCACAATGTGATAATAATACTGATAATAAACTTCTGTTATACACGGTGACAGTGAGGTTAAATAAACAAAGGTATTAGAAAACATTTTTAAACAAGGAAAGTTTAATAATCGTTTGATAGTTAATGGCTTAAGTATTCATTGGGTAAGGATAGATCAGTATGATAAAATATTGAAACAGAGATGAAATGTAATATGAATGATCGTGGAAATAAAAACAAGCCGGTTGGGGGTAGAAGATTTAAAGGGAAGATGGAAGGTGAAGCAGGTGGCTGTAAAGGAACAAGAGTATGAAGAAGGAGAAAATTTTTGATACATTAAGACCATGGTAGAAGAAGAGGTTGTACCAGTCTATTTTGTACACATAATTCTGGTTTTTCAAAATGTATGGCTATTGCCTCGGCAATGCAAAGAAGATGCAGTCTAATTGTCTTATGAATGATTTTACTTACCGTGTAGATGACTTTGAACGCAGAGTCTGTCTTGATTGAGTGACCTGTGTTCACAAGGTGTTCGATTATAGAACTTCTTATTGAGCCGTTGCCTCCTCTTTTTAGCCACGCCGGACAATGTTCTTGAATTCTTTTGGATAAAGTACGCATCGAACGACCTATATACCTAGCTCCACAAGAGCAGGTAAATTGGTAAATGCACATTATAGAAAACCTCCACTTCTATAAAAGGTATATGGATGATATCTTTTTCATTTGTAACAACAACAACATTATATTTTATCATACTGATCTATCCTTACCCAATGAATACTTAAGCCATTAACTATCAAACGATTATTAAACTTTCCTTGTTTAAAAATGTTTTCTAATACCTTTGTTTATTTAACCTCACTGTCACCGTGTATAACAGAAGTTTATTATCAGTATTATTATCACATTGTGAAAATAAGTATATATATTTGCGATTGTACAGCTTTGAAAATGAATTCGCCGAAAAGAGAACTCTTCGCTGAACTAATCTTTCTTTCTTATTTAATGTCATAATGGGTGTATTCCATTTATTAAACTTGATTTGTTCAGATAGACAACATGTCAGCTTGATTATTAATTAAGTGTCATAAACTACTACTGACAACTGTTGCCTTAGTGGAACACAGGCTGCAGATCAAAATTATCCGACCAACTTTGTCCTAAGCTCTCCATTGCAATTGTTTCCAATTACTATTTATTCATTTAATGTCTGCTTCCAATTCTCTGCTCAATGTGTTTTTCGATTTTCTAATCCTTTTGCTTTCGGGATTGAAAGTTACGGCTTGCCTCGTGATGCAGTTTGATGATTGCCGCAACGTAAATTCTTACCACCACCAACGCCTTTTCCTAATTTCTCCTTCAAGTAGAAGTCAAGTTGTTCTCTTTCATAGTTGGTTGTTGCTGATGATATTTAGACAACGGAAATTGAATATCTTGGATGGCAAATTATTTTTATAGGGTGCATAGAACTGGATAACATTGATTGTGATCTCCTCCTGCTTTGTTTCGAATGATGCTTTGATGATTCTGGATCTATGATATTTCTATCCTATAAGTGCTTTTTGTGCTTCTCCGGACATCATCAGTGCAAATCCTTGTGTGTGCAGAGCATTTTCTTTTTCATGACCAGAGTACAACTGCATCTATTCCAAATCTAATCTTTTCTGTTCAACTCGGTTCTAATGTGTTTCAGATATTTCGAGCACCATCAAGTTGTATCTTCTCATTTCCGCAGCTATTTATATGGTCCTCCTGAATTCCTATATTGAGCCAACAATCTATGTACATATGTCAATTGACCTAGGTTTTAAAATGGATGTCACACTCGTGATTTCCGAAGAATCTCATCTATCACAGTAAAACATCATTTATCTTCTGAATGTAGATCTTTCAACTCTCTTGAGAGAGTTTGAATAGTTTAAATGGTTTTTTTCTTCTAGTTAACATTTTTTTAACAAGGTTTACTTCCTACACGATAAAGTTACTGACCACATTTTCAACCCTCTACCTCTATCCGGACTAAATCCTTGTTACATTATAGTTTATTATCATTTGCATATGAACTTTTAAGGAAATCAGTAATTAATATTTTATCTTCTTAACGAATGAATAACTATCATTATTATTATTTCTTCGAAACTGTTCTCACAATATTAACTTTATATAAAATAGCTTACAAGAAATTCAATTTGTTTTAATTATCATACAGATTTCATGTAATATAGCGTAGCACGCAAATTATTGCATGAAAAAATTATTGTTTTTAGAAATTACGTCGTCACAATAAATGTTACTGAGATTTATAAACTGTTCAAAAAAATGGTTACCTGAATTTAGTTATCTGAATAACTTCAATAATCTTAAGCGTTCGCGTGCAAGATGTTGTAACGGGTGGATTGCACGGTTCGATGCGCAGTGTATTTATCGATCGAATCAGTGACACGTAAAACACGTAAGGACGACCTAGAGTCCCGATGGGTCCAGCTTCCCTGTCTAGCCCAGCAAGTTGAATTCAGGACGCAAGTCACAGCTTCTGAGTTATGAATCGTTATATTTCAAACATACTCTGTTTATATACCAACCAAACAGACCACATCGTACCATAAAAATAGAAAACAACACCTGTACAATATTTAACGAGTGAAATAAATAATGGCTAATAGGGAATATCCATTTAAGGTCCAAGGACATCATTAGACTTAACATGATAATGATTGGTATATTATTCTGCATCCATAACACAAGATTGGTCGGTTCTGGGTTTGAATCTCGCGGGGAGGGGATCGTGGATAAGCACTGCTGAGGAATCCAAAACTACAACAAAATGGGCGTCCAGTGCTTCCAGGTTTTCAATGGTGGTCTTACATTAGTCGGTTCATGATCTCAATCAAAAAATCTTAACCATATTTATTTCATTATTATTGGGAATGCTTATGGATTGCTAATAAGAGTATGATATTTCATTACAGGTTCTAACCAACTTTTATTTATAGCAACAAACTAAATAATTTCATTGCTTCACTTAATCAATCCTGATTAGTTTGGAAACGTAAGTACGTAATAAATATATTGTTTTCAAATATAAGAATAGAATACACTAATTGAATTATAACACGTTAGTTTTAGAGTAGTGCAGACAATCCTGAAAATTCCTTTCTTAGTCTCTTCCAATGTTTACTTATTGCTCGTCTCGCATATCTTATTTTTAGATTGCTGTATGCTGTACACAACTTGATAAAGAGTTTTGAGAAATATTTTTTTAGGTTAGATTGTAAGTTACTAGGCGGAAAATGAAATCTATCACGCTCATGTTGAGTGTCATAATTTAGTGTAAATTCAAGCATTCGGGAAGACAAGTTTTTCAAATTTTACACAACTGAATTATGTGATTTTTCCGTTTTGGTAAGAATACGCGTTGTGAAAACAACCAATTAAACCAACATGGAATAAGGAATAATCAATTAAATTCTAAGTTAACTGTTATTCTATATTGGCTATGCTCAGATCAAGCGTTTGACTGATTCTATTAAGATCAGTGAGCCATTTAAAGAATTAGTATTATCAACAGCAGGTTGATAAAGTGTGGCGAATTTCGTGTTTTTGTTTGTCTTGAGGGCATAAAGTTCAACATATAAATTGTACTACTGGTCGACGAAATCAGTACCTCAATGCTATACTTAAAAAACAAGTCAAAAACCTATATTTCTGTTGGGGACGATAGAT